ACTAATAAAAAATAATGTGATTGGTCTATATATACCTGACTTAGACATGGGTTAGGGTTAATGGCTCTTTGAATTTGCAGTTGCTCCTTAACTCATGTTTTAAAGCCTTGAGCCATGAAACCTGAGGACTATGGTTCAGAATCATTAATTTAAGTCCTGGTTCTGATAAGCCTGGTTAAGAATGAGCCTTGTGATAATGTGGTGCAGTGTTACATTTTTCTTCAGATATGACAGCATCTAATTGGATATTTTCATTATTGTTTTAAATAGTCTTTCTTTTTCTTTTTTGTATTTTTCTTTTGGAACTTTGGCGGTTTTAGTTATCCACGAACGGAAAGCACAGCATATCCTGCTTCATTTGACTTCAAAGGCACGCTTAATGTAATAGCAAATAATCCACTATGGGGTGATTATGTCCAAAGATTGCTTGCTGAAGGTTATCATAAACCAAGGTCAGGAACAGATGCCGGTGACCATCCTCCTATAACTCCAATGCATTCCGCAACTGAGGATATTCTTGGAAAAGATGCTTGGAGTTTATATCAGTACGTCTGTCAACATTTTATAGGAACTGTGTCTCCCGACTGCAAATATGTGAGGTAATAGGCCTAATGTTTAATCCTCTTGTTTATTTAGTTTAGTTGTATCTGGCAGTGTTTCATATTCTACTGTGGTCAAATGCAGACCTTGATGATATATGGTTGTACACCTTTTGTGTTTACAACTTGCTTTTAGACTACTTAGATGCTCCCATAGGACGTTGAATTATTGTGGTGGGTAGGATATGTATAATTGGATAATGTTGTTTGATGCTCTACTGTAAGTGAACTTCAGTATAGAATGCCACAGTTGTTTCTTGAAGGAGGATGTTCCTGTCAAGAGGAGAGCAAGACCAAAGAAGACTTTGGGTGAGGGTGAGGGGTTGGGCCACTGAGAAGGGCCTTGTTTTATTGAGCTTACTGATGGTATGGTTCTAAATAGAGCATCATAGTGTGATATGGTCCATGGTACTGATCTCACCTGGTGGAAAACAGCATGGTTGTTTCTGTAGTTTGTTTTGCCATGATTTGGATACTGTTGACATGCTCACTGATGTAGGAAAATTTTTGATATTTAGATTCTATATCATTGGTTGATACACTTTACTATTTTCTTTTTTCTATTTTATAATATTTATTACTTGATGTCTATTTCAGGAGAAAAGTAGAATTTTCAGTTGGCGGAGAATACTTCCATTGCATTGGGCAGCATGTTACAGTGCAAGGATTTACATATATTATGCCATGGTTGGCCATAAATGAAAAAAATCTTCCTCAGTTTACAAAAGGGGAGAAAATTGAAGTTTCAAGAGTGGAGTTATATGAGGTAATATATTCAACTCCTCCATGTAATGAACCATCCAGTTTCCAAATTTTGCTCCTGATGCCTGATTTTCTAAATTCTTTAGGGTGAGACTTCACCTCCTGATTATCTCAGTGAGAGTGAGCTGATTTCTCTGATGGAGAGGAATAGAATAGGCACAGATGCATCAATTCCTGTGCATATCAACAACATATGTGAGCGGAACTATGTGCAGGTTCTTAAGAAAAATTGAAGTTTTTCCTTGTGATATTTAGCTTTTTCATGCAAAATGTTAGTTTTTCTTTGTATTGTTTGGATATATTATTCTTATTCAAAATGCAGGTACAAGGTGGTAGGAAATTGGTTCCAACTGCTTTAGGCATAACACTGATAAGGGGCTATCAATGCATTGATCCAGATCTTTGTTTGGCAGACATTCGCAGTTTCATTGAGCATCAGATCACTTTGGTTGCTAAGGGTCAAGCTAATCATTCTCATGTTGTGCAACACGTATTACAGCAATTCAAGCAAAAATTCAGTTATTTTGTTCAGCAGGTTAGAGAAGTATATGGTTGAGTACTTGCACATTTTAATTGCATGCTTAAATAGCCTCATGGCTAAATTACAAGAAAAGATTTATGGTTCGTAATTGCAATTCCAAATTGAACCTTGAAATTTTCATTAATTACAATTTAAAACGTCAAAGGCTGGGAGAAGAAAGAGTTTCAGTTTAGGAGGACAATACCCAAAATAGAAAAGAAAAAGAAGAAGTTTCTTGTATAGGTTTCTATAGTCAAGTGCATTTGTCTATTGTAGCTTCGAACTGGGGGATGCAAATGAAGATGATAGAAAGAGCAAAAGTGGTAGGATCATATGGGTTTGTTGTTGAGGTGTGGATGTGTCTTGGGGAGGTTGGAGAAGTTTGGTAGCAAGATTGTGATGGTTAGACATAAATGCTATAAGGATATGTTACAAGTGTGAACTATTGGGAAAGGGAGAGTTTAATAGTTGTGAGTTGTCTATCCCTGTTGTTTTAAACCAAGTATATGCATTGAGTCTTTGTATCTTTGTATTGGTTTGGATGGATTTGCTAGGTATATGCTGTAAATTTTATGATGATATCCCTTGGTAATGCTATTTGATAATGCTCATGCCTTGTGGCATTAAAATTTCGTTTCAATATCTTCTTTTATGGATTCTGTTAATTAAGAAGTAAATTCTATTAACATTTTAGATTATTAAATCAATTGAACTTTTTCTCAGAAGAATCAAGCTTGTCGCTTGATTTGGGTTGGTTACCATGGACCTTGTTTTTAGTAACATTACCCAAGATACGATTCCAAGTATAGCACAATTGTAGTATGTTTTATTGTTGCTGTTGTTACAATAGACCTTGACTTGTGATACAAATCTGAAGTTAACTACTCATTGAATGCTCATGTGTATATATTTTATGTATGAGGAACTAACTAGTTTTTGTGGTTGCTTTTAGATATTGTAGCTTAGAATTATTTATTTATCAGTGAACTCCTCCTCTTTTCCAGATTGAGAACATGGATGCCTTGTTTGAAGCACAATTCTCTCCACTAGCTGACTCAGGGCGTGCACTAAGTAAATGTGGGAAATGCTTGCGGTACATGAAGTACATCTCTACACAGCCCCCACGTTTGTTTTGTGGCACATGTGAGGAGGTTTACCATCTTCCTCAAAAAGGCACAATCAAGGTAATAGCAAAATGCTGGACCTCTTGCAAACTTCAAAGTTTCACTGGAGCATGAATCATGTGGAAACATTTAGGCCATAAATACTTTCTCGCTTCTTTGCAAAACCTATGGATTAGAAAGAAAAGTTCAAACACTCTAACAAATCTCTTTCCTCAGCTTGCCCTTTTTCTTCACCCGTCCTTTTTCTTTTCTATTTTTTATTTTTATTCTTTCATTTCCTTCTTTCTCTGAATCAATCCTAGAATCTATTAATTTGTAAAACTAAAGGTGCTAGGTTCCTCTTTTTCTTATTGTTGCTCTTGTAAAGAAACCTATTTGAATTGAGGTGGTGCAACCCGTGGATCTGACTGGACAGGGAAAAGTAGTCATCACTAGCCTTGCTTGTGCCCTGAGTCTAGGAATGGTCATTTTTTGGATGTGTTTTTCAGAAATTAACTCTTGAAGAAAATTAGAGTCAGTTGAATTTAATGCAGCAAATTCCATGTCATGTGTCTACTTCATTCAATATGTGGCAATCTTTTGGGTCTCATTGGTTGTTTTGAAAGTCGATGGTTGGAAAAGCCTCAAGCATTTCCTTGTCTGGATATGTGTCATTGCACTGCCTGTTGTGACTCACATTTTAATTTTTCTGCAGCTGTACAAGGAACTTACTTGTCCTTTGGATAACTTCGAGCTGTTGATCTTCTCCATGCCTGGTCCCGAAGGCAAGTCATTCCCACTCTGCCCATATTGCTATAATAGTCCTCCATTTGAAGGTATAGACACTCTCTTTGGTGCCACAAAGATAGGTAGTTCAGGGAAGCTGGGGAAAGGGGCAGGCATGCCGTGCTTCCTCTGCCCACATCCCACATGTCGCCATTCTCTAGTGGCACAGGGAGTCTGTGCTTGCCCCGAATGCAGTGGAACACTTGTTTTAGACCCAGTAAGTGCTCCGAAGTGGAGACTTTATTGCAATAAATGCAATTGCCTTGTCTTACTCCCTGAAGGTGCTCACCGTATCGCCACTACCCGAGAGCGCTGTGCTGAATGTGACTCAACAATCATAGAGGTAGACTTTAATAAGAAAACAACTCCTTTGGAAGATGGAGCTACCTTGCATACTGGTTGCATTCTTTGCGATGAGTTGCTTCATTCGCTTGTGGAGGTGAAGCACGGGAAATCATTTAGTAGAGGCTTGGGTGGAAGGGGAAGAGGAAGAGGAACACGTAGAGGCGGATTTAGGGGAAGAGGACGTGCCGCTGGAAAACAAGTGGACCCTAAAATGAGTTTCCGAGATTTTTGAACAATATTTTGTATGAACTTTTCCTTTCAAGTCCTTTATTTTTGGCCAGAGAAATGATCTGCGTTATTTGACGTGAGCTATCACCATATTCCTTGGTACAGATGCTTTTTCATCTTTTAGTACAGATGTTATGTTGCACAAGTTGTTCCCTCCTCCCCGATGAACGTAAAAATTCTATGCTACAGTTGTAATCTGAAATCGAGCTAGTAAAAATTTCTTTAAGACTTTTTCATCTGGTACTGTTATTTAAAACGAAATCTTGATGAGCAAAAGCTCATTGACCATTGCATCTTTATGGGTATGTCGTAGTTCATTCACGGTGTATACAATTACACAACCACATGCCATGTTTGAAATATAACAAAAACACAGCAGTCCAAGTTCCATTTTCGTTTCTTTCTTGAACTCCATTTTACTAAATATAAGTAAAAGAAAACATGTACGCTATCACCTACATGCCACGTTTGAGAGTTGGGACCTATGGAAATGTAATAGTCTGACTTCGGGCACAAAAACAAAATATAGCAAAAGTGCAAACTAATGTCTAACGAGATTGGAGATACCAATAGGCTGTAGGCAGTGGCTCTGGCCTGCAAGTTCGTTGAGTTGAGCCACTGGCCATTAAAATAATATTCGGGTAACAGTGACCAACCCCCAAACCTAACAATGCGCCAAAAAGCTCATTTTAGGAATTTATGGCATGTTTCCTCCTATTTCGGCCAAACCCACTCTCAATCTCTCATGTCTTAAAAATAACAAGTACACGTTACCTTATCACCTCCACCTCTTCCTCCATGCCTCTTTAGTCTGTCCCAACCCACTGTCCATATCCACTTTCTATTATTCAGGCAAGTCTAGTGTTTTTTACGCACTTTTTTGTGTAATTGTATCTACTCCTTCTCTAGATTCTTATTAGTTACTTTGCTGGTGTTTAATTAGCATATGCAAGAACCTTTTTTGTTCTCTTTTTAAATCAAGCAGTTTCTTAAAATGGTTTTTGGCTTTGTTAAGGCAAAAAAGGGTATATTTAGCTGTTTTTTTAATGAGTAATTTGTTGTTTTCTTCTTCATATTGATAAACTACAATTACCCATTTCTTTTTTTTTTTCCTATTTGCAACAGCTGCAGTTGAATTGCTCATCAAAATCTAGACTTTGGATATTTGGTTTTGAAGAAGATGAGTCTCTGTGGGAGTGTTTCGGCTGTGTACTTGAACTCCCAAAGCAACACAATAAGCATGGGAAGTGTCTTAGCTTTTAGAAGTGGTGAATCCATGGGACATGCCTTGAGAATTCCCGTTAAAAAGAGGTCAAGTAAGGGTGCTTGTCCTTTGCAGGTTGGTTGGTGTTGATGAATATTTGGATGACCTTACCCTTTTGTTACAGTGCAAAGAATAATCTTACCTTTCTTTTGTTATCACGAGTCAGGTAGTTTGCATAGATTATCCAAGGCCAGAGCTTGAGAATACTGTTAATTTTTTGGAGGCTGCTTCTCTATCTGCTTCTTTTCGTTCTGCTCCCCGTCCAACTAAGCCATTGAAAGTTATAATTGCTGGTGCAGGTATGAATTTGTCTTAAGTTTAATCTGTGCTTCCTTTTGTCTTCTGAGAAATCCATTCTCTCTTTTGAATTTTTTGTAACTTCTTGTGCCTTTACTGTAGCAAAATTTCTAAAAATTTATATTTTTTATATTAATGAACTGAATTTTGCATGGACTTCATCATGCCTTGATTCTTAGCTGCATGTCTAAATATATTTTCCAGTTGAGAATCTCATACTCTGTCATTGGATTCTGATTCTGTGTTTAATATGTGTTTATTTTACATTTTTTATGTTGCTGTTATGTTCTAGCTTTCACTAGAAGGCCGTGCCAATTTAGGGCCCTGTGCTTTGTGACAGTTAGATGGTTTGCATGCAAGTGCTAGGAAGAGTAAAATTGGGTAACGATGTGGTATTCTTCTGTCACAAAAGTCCAAAAGTCTGTGAATGCAAAATCTTGTTTGTTTCATTTTACTAATTGCTATGGATTAGCTTTCAAGGGTGGATGTGCTTTTGTGGTGAGCAATAAGGGAGAATCTGCATGCTTGAAAGCTATCAGGAGTATGCAAGTATAACCCTTTGGCCTTAATTTGATATTTATTTTATACCTAAAATTTTGTTCCTTATGTGTTTTAGATTTAATGTATGATCCATCACTTGCGTTTGTTATTGCTTCTACATTAGACTTACCCCTTTTGAATTGTTGCAGGTTTGGCTGGTTTGTCAACTGCAAAATATTTAGCAGATGCAGGTCACAAACCTCTGTTGCTTGAAGCAAGAGATGTCCTAGGTGGAAAGGTTTTTGCTCTACTAAGTTTTATAGAAATTTACACCTATTTATATTATTGAATTATCTCACTCCTCATTTCTAAAATCTTATTGTGATATGAGGAGATATATGACACTTTATCTTTAATGAAGAAAAAACGATTTTAATCAGCAAGATTTATTCAAGGACAGTTTAGTTTCTTTCTGGACTATGGCATGCGGCATGATTTAATAAATAGTGTTTACCATCAGAAATTAAACTGTGCTAATGACTAACTTGTGTTGGTGTAAATGATTTCTTTGTATGTAACTTCCTGGGGCCGCCAATCACATGCATAAAAAGGAAAAAAAAATTTCATTTGAATTAAGATTTTGATATTTTAGCAATTAATATATCTTTCAAATGGCCGCTTGTAAGTATTTTAAGCTTCCAACGTGACATGCTTACATACGTGGTTTAAGATGTTGTTTTCCCTTTTTCCTGCTTTTTTGTGAGAGATTAGGGTTTGGTCTTATTTTTAACAGGTGGGCGCATGGAAAGATGATGATGGAGATTGGTATGAGACAGGCTTACATATATTCTGTAAGAATAACTACTTTTTTGTTTTCTCAGTCTTTACCACCTGGTCTTCCTCTTTAAGTTTTTGAAGGTTGTAGTGTTGTATTGAAATTTTCATTCAGTACATTGATTTTTTTTTTGTTTTATTTTACTTTTATTGTCCCCCTTTTTAGTACTTGAAAGTTGTAAATACGTAGGCTTGTGGAGATTTTGGACAATACCTATGATTTTCCTTTTTATCTCCTGACTCTTGTATTCCGTTGTTATCTGATGCATTGCAACATCTTTTCTTTTTTCTTTGCTTAATTATATTCTTATTATGTCTTTTCTTTTTGGCAAGTCGGGGCTTATCCAAATGTGCAAAGCCTGTTTGGAGAACTTGGCATTAATGACCGGCTGCAATGGAAGGAGCACTCTATGATATTTGCAATGCCAAACAAACCTGGAGAGTTCAGCCGATTTGATTTTCCAGAAGTTCTACCTGCACCCTTAAATGGTAAACAACTTAAATACTTGGTAATTTTATCTTTCATTTCGAATTTTTCTGCTTTGTACTGTTTGTAAAGCAAAAAAAAGTTTACATAGGTTTGTACAATTATCAAATTGGCTGTTATGCAAACTTTTTTTGCTTTACAAACAGTATGAAGCAGCAAATTTTGAAATGAAAGATAAAATTGCTTGCATGTTACCTGTTTTTATTTAATCAGTTGGATATAGACAATACCTTGCTCTAAATGATTAATTGGTATCCGGGACGAGTTTATTTGCTCTTGTCACTACTCTATCTTATAGGTTACTTAATGTCAATTCCAGTTTGTTTTGATGTTCGCTCTTTACATTTATGTGTGTTTATTGTGAAGTACCATTTAAATTTCTTCTTATCTACTCTGTGTAATGCATATTATAGAATCTACATATTGGGCATTACATGTTTTAATAAATATTATATGATTCCACTCATCCAAATTGCTCAACCCCTTTCCCTAAATTTCCCTTGATTGTTTTCATAATAGAAAACTTAAGACTGAACAATCAGTTGTTATCGTTAGTCATGGCATTCCCATATCTTTTAAGTTGGGCCTTCCTTAGACTGACCTTATATTCAAGACTGGTCTTTCCAATTGAACTAATTGGTTTTAAGTTGGATGCCTTTTAATTTTTTTTTTGGATGCCTTTTAATGGAAGATAAATATTTTACTTTCTTGAAATCTTGAACTCTGAGATTTGGGCCTCTTGTTGAATTACACTTAAGAGTTTTGTTTGACACTAGGTCAAGGCGCAAGGTTGGCTTCCTCTCCTTCATAAAATTTTGAGCTTCTATAAAATGATAAAAATGAATGTGTTTTGGTACTCCCAAGTTTCATTTAACACATTGGGCTGTGTTCAACTAATTCAATTCATGATGAATTCTAGTGTATGGGGAGCACTCTTTTATGTATACACTTTACGGGCTCTTCGTTGAGGAAAAGAGTCTTCTAGTGTTTCTAAGTCTGCTGATGAGCATGTGAGGAGAAAAGCACATAGAGATCCTAGACTGAGTTTGTACCTGACAGTGAAGTTTAAGGGGTTTTGAAGGGTTCCAGTTTGTAATTTCTTGATCTTTCAATGGTGGATTTTCTTCTTATTGCGGCCGTGGTAGGAAATCCACAAAACCACACCATATCTTTAATTCCTATATTTTCTTGTTCCCTTTTTCAGTTCTTTAATCTTTGTAATGTGTGATTGATTCAAATCTCTCAATTGTTTGCTTAAATTTTCCTTTTGTAAGCTTTTGATTTAGAACCAAATCACAACATTGTTATTGTCTGGTGGTGCTTGTCTGTAGGATCCTATGTCTTGTTGTTGGCTGCTGAATTACATTCCTTTGATATGTTGTGGCTGATTTATGTTGTTGGTGGACTGATCGGGGTGCTTGGAAACTTTTTTTTTTCCTTTATCATTTAATGTATGTGGAATTTGCTCTACAGATTCCTGAATGCCAATACTAACATCTACAGGAATTAAAAATTACATTTTGCATCTACTTTGCTTAAATTTCATATCAATGAAAACTGACAGGGATATGGGCCATTTTGAAGAACAATGAAATGCTGACTTGGCCAGAGAAAGTGAAGTTTGCAATAGGACTCCTACCAGCAATGCTTGGTGGACAACCTTACGTTGAGGCCCAAGATGGTCTAACTGTTAAAGAGTGGATGAGAAAGCAGGTATGCTGGTTGCTTTTGATAAAGTCTGGCTGGCTTCTGAGTGGTGAGCGTAGTTCATCCTGATGTAAAGCTTCCCAAAAAGAGCCTTGTTAACTTGAAGTTTTGCTCATATAGGGGCAATTTATTTGCTGCTTTGTGGCTACCTGCATGTATGGTTGACTGATACGGATTTTTAAGCCTTTACCAAATACATGGCTGTTTCTTTGCTTGAAAAGGTGCAGAAGAGCACAAGAATAATAGAGCAACAATCCTTGCATCTGGATTTGTTTGAAGTCATTCTGAGGTGTCTTCTGTGGTATATGCATATTATTGTGTGTGTACACAATTCTGTCCATGGATTTTGGTGCTGATGCTTCATTTTTTATGAGTAAAACTGGATAGTATATAGTAGTGGGATATTTTTAGATCAGACATGAGTGGGTTGAGTATTAATCTATAAGAATAACATGCATAAATTTTTTAGTCTTGCAAAAATCATGAGGAAAAGTATTGCTGAATGCTTTTAGGAAAATAGAAAAAGGAGGAAGGGGAGGGGATGAAAGAAAATTTTGGAAAAGAGGTTGCCATGTGCAGTGTTATGTTTAGTATAGTGACTTTTGTAAGTGATGCAAAGTCTGTCAGTTAGTGTATGCATTCCCCTCTGCATTCATTCAAATACTGCCCGCTTTTCATTGTTAATTAATCTGGTATGAATTGCTTTAAGTAGCAAAAATTTGTTAAATGAATTAAAAATAAAGAAAAATAATACTTTTCAAAAATAAAAAATAAAGAAAACTAATCCTTTCCTCATTTTCCTTTTCAGGGCATACCGGATCGTGTGACTAACGAGGTGTTTATTGCCATGTCAAAGGCACTGAACTTCATTAACCCAGATGAACTTTCAATGCAGTGTATATTGATTGCTTTGAATCGATTTCTGCAGGTATGGTTCCCTAGTTTACTCCTATTTTGGAAATTTGATTATATTGGAAACAAGGTCAGCAACAAAATAATTAAAATGATGTGTGTTTAAATTTTTCTTTACTATTAACAGAAACCCCGCTCTGTATGTCACTAGTAATGACGTTGGTTGGGTACCAAAGGCATCTATAAATATGAAACTTGGACACATCAAGTAAACATCACAATTTGTTCTTGTTTATTATGGCTATATTTTCTTTTAAAACGGGTATTAAGTTTACATGCTACTTTTAGGTGTTCCAATAATTTTCAGCCTGAAATTTTCAAGAGACTAGCAATTTCCATGGCAAAGCTATTTCTTAGGCAATATGTGAGCATATATATCTCTCTTCCTCTGTTGGCAACAGAGGGATGGGTACAGTTCCCTTCTGGCCTTAATACCATAGGTGACAACATATACCTTTTCTTTTTGGCCAAAAGCTGCCATTACTGCCTTCAAAATGATCATCAAGCAGTAAGTCGTATATGTAGACAGCTATCTATATTTGTATGTATGTTTCAAATGACTTTCATTTTTTTAATTATCAATGAGAATCTTGACAAAAACCCTCTTATCATTGTTTGATAAATAAAGTTAAAAGGAATTCGAAAAAAAAAAAATTCCTTTTCTTCTTTTTCCCTTTTTATTTCTGCTTGAGATATGTATAAAGGGTAATATCTTGGGTCCTTTTGGTGAATTAGGTTTTATAGATTGAGTAACAGATGTGTAATTTTCATTTTGACTCACCGGATGTTCTCCAGTCAAATTTAAGATCGCATGTTTTCTTATAACTCTCATATACTAGAAGCATCTGAGGTTGTGATCCTTTTGTAATTTGTATTAAGAATAAGGTTCATTGACATATACATTGTTGGATAGTCATGTTTATTCATTTACATTCAGTTAAGGTTATACAAAACAGAAGGAAAACATGGTATTACAACATTTAAAATAGCTTGTTAAGAATGTGTGGAAAATTCACTAACAGGAGAAAAATGGATCAAAGATGGCATTCTTGGATGGCAACCCCCCTGAGAGGCTTTGCATGCCTATTGTTAATCATATTGAGTCACTGGGTGGTGAGGTTCGGCTTAACTCACGAATAAAGAAAATAGAGCTCAATGATGATGGAACTGTGAAGAGTTTTCTTCTAACTAATGGCAATGCAATTGAAGGAGATGCTTATGTAATGGCAGCTCCAGGTATACTCTGCTTCCAATTGAATAACAATTTTTTTAGCTTCACTGTATTACCAGCTTCTCTAATACTAGCTGATGGATGTTGATCTCATCAGTTGATATCCTGAAGCTACTTTTGCCTGAAGACTGGAGAGAGATTTCATACTTCAAGAAATTAGAGAAATTAGTAGGAGTCCCAGTTATCAACGTTCACATATGGTTAGTAACAAAGTCCATTGTTTGTTCAGACAATTTGTTGGTACTGCTGTTGCTCTGTCTCCCACCATTTTCTAAATCTTTGACCTGCAGAAAGGTATTATTTGAAGTACACCCCAATGACTTTCTATAGATATATCTTCAACTGATTTGACCTGGAAACTTTAAAGAAGTGGTAGGGGAAGCAAAAGATATCATGTGGAAGCTTTCTTTGATCTGACTGTGAACTGAATGGTTAAGTCCTCACATCATATTGTAATCCATTGTGTACCTGGGTTATAGAGTCCCACATCAGAACTCTGAAGAAATGAATGACCTCTATATGTTGTTCAGCTACACATTGCTTAAGCATTCATGAAAGATGGTGCTCATCATTTACATTATGCCTTCACTGGACACACCCTCTAATCAAAAAGCAGCAGTGTTGACCATGTGTAATGGCTTTCTAGTGTTGCCTAATCTCTTACTTCTCTGGTTTTAAAGTAGTATAGAAGAGACTGCATGTGTTTTTCCTATGGTTGTTTTTCTGGGGTGTTTTTGCTCAAGAAATTTTTGTTTTTAATTTCCCATTAATTCACTGCATTGCACTAGTGAAATGCGTTGAGTGATACATGCGTCATACCTTTTTTAAAAAAAGTGATACACGTGTGCTATTTCTCCTTTTGAGCAACGGTTTAATTTTATAGATAAACAATTGTTTTTTGGGTTTCTAGGGTGTAAAGTTAATATGAGAGTCCCTAGTTGAGTGATGTGGATTATCTCCATTTGCAGGTTTGATAGGAAACTGAAGAACACCTACGATCATCTACTCTTTAGCAGGTCTTCCTACTTCGTCTATCAGCCTTTTCCCCTCTTTGCAAATTTACAGCTTTTATGGTTATTATCTGCCTGCCACTTGGTAGCCTTATGATTTTTTACTAATTGTATTTCTGAATTTACAATATTCGTGTAGAAATGAAACTAGAGTATATTTTGAGGAAAAAGATCATTGCTTATAAGAATGTGGAAACCGTAGTGTAAAGGCATTATTATTACCAGTCTGGGGTCTTTGCCTATTGATGGTCAAGCAAATCTGTTGCATGCTTTTTTTGTTAACACAATCTAATTATTTAAATTTTCATATTTGACCATTTGGTGCATTATTTAATATTTGTAATGTTTTTCCAGATTTAATTGACCTGGAATATCCCATGAGGGATTGTGGGGGTTTAAGGAGAATGGTTATCCTCCATTGTTTTGCCAAGTTATGGGACATCTTTGCATTAAACTAATTTGCATTAGCGTTTTCTACTCCTTTCATGTTCATTTACTGAGGTGAATCTCATGAATGTTGTTCTCTCTTACCAACAACTTTTGTTTATACTCGTCACTTTTTTTCCTCATTTGCTTGCAGAAGTCCCCTTCTAAGTGTTTATGCTGACATGTCTGTAACGTGTAAGGTAAAAGCTCTCTAAAATTTCTTTTTTATTTCCGTTGAATTTATGTTCTTTAGGTTGCCATGCTGCCTATATTTCCTACATATCGGATGTCAGTGACATTGTTACAATCTTGCAAGAATTGTTAAGTGTATATGATATAATTACATGTTTAACTACATTCTGGTTTCTTTGCATAACAAAATTATTGGGTGTTAATCCTTTTTTTATTGACTAACAGCCGTGCTTGAATAAAAGAATGGAAAGAAGTTTATTCAAAATTGTCAGCTTCTGTTCAATGCTTTTGCAGATGTGTGGGTAATTATGCTAGTTTTGCCCCAACTAGATGAGACACAGGAACGATTAGCATGTGTTCTTTCATTTAAAAGAAATCATCTAACAAAAAAGCTTTAGTTATTAATTTTTTATTGACATTTTTCTGTGGAAATGTATCATGATGAGTTCCTAATCTTGAAACAAGGGGATGTGGTGAAATGGCAGATGCTATGGACCTAATTTGATTTAGCCTTGCCAGGGGAACCTATTAATGGGTAACTTTCAAGTCCAAAGAATATTTGGAATAAAACCATGTAAGTTTGACTCTACCTTCCGTGAGAATTGAGAAAAAAGGAAAGTTTCAGAAAGTAACAACTAGAGAAGAAGAAAAAGATAAGTGCAGAGAACATTTGGAAATAAAACCGTGTGGGTTTGACTCAACCTTCCATGAGACTTGAGAAAAAAGAAAGTTTCAGCAAGTAAGACTTAAGAAGAATAAAAATATATGTGCAGAGACATAACTCTTTCTCCCTGCTTTTTATTATTTTTTCCATTATATAAAGAGAGGCTAACTATGTTAGCTTCATGTCTCCTCATTAAATGCATGAGACCATTAATTAATGATTTATTGTTTTATGCAGGAATATTACAATCCAAACCAGTCCATGTTGGAGTTAGTTTTTGCCCCTGCAGAAGAATGGATTGCACGTAGTGACTCGGAAATTATTGATGCTACAATGAAGGAGCTTGCAAAACTCTTTCCTGATGAAATTTCTGCAGATCAGAGCAAAGCAAAAGTTATAAAGTACCATATTGTTAAAACACCAAGGTTAGATTGAGAGCATTTTTTTAGAATCTCTGTTATTTGTTTCTTTTTTTTTTTTTTGTTTTTCTTTTTCAAATCAAATTCTAGTCATTGCTTGAAGTCTCGTGTTATGTCTGAATATAAATGATTGGGGTCGTTTCCCCCTATGTTCATATAGTGATGCATCAAATAGTACAATTGTGCAAGAAACATGTAATATAAATATTTATTTCAAAATATTCATGGAAGCTTAATGCTATCTTGGACACACTTTCAAACACATCTCTAAACACGATACCAGTACCATTTCAATTATGTTCAGAAGAAAGAAAGAGTAAATCCTTTTTTCAGATTTGTAATTGTGTACGTACATACCTATGTTTGTACATACATGCACGCATGCATGTTCTATGTTTAAATCTATGTGCAATAGTGCCTATTTTAGGTGTTAACCCCAAGATTCCCTACTGAAACTTAAAGCTAATGATCATTTCAGATCAGTATATAAAACTGTTCCAGATTGTGAACCCTGCCGCCCATTGCAAAGATCTCCGATAGAGGGGTTCTATCTAGCTGGTGATTACACAAAACAAAAGTATCTGGCTTCAATGGAAGGCGCTGTTCTCTCAGGGAAGCTTTGTGCGCAGTCTATTGTACAGGTACTTTTTGCATTCTTTTCGGTGTCATGTTGCTGTAACTGCGCTGGCATAATTCTCTTTTTTCCCACTGAAGTTCAAATTAGTAGTTGTCTTAGATGCCAAACTTGTTGCTATATACCATCCCAGAAAAGTTTTATGAAGGTGGCAATGTGAGTCCATAGAATAGGAGGACGGAAAACGGAAATATTATGTTCATTTTATATCGGCACTTCTAATGTATTGAAATATGCAGGATTATGAGTTGCTTCTTGCTCTGGGACAAAGAAAGTTGGCAGGAGCAAGCATTCACTAGCAGCCTTCAAGTTGAGGTAAAAAATTCACAGGTTTCTGAGGATCTTTCGCAAATTGATTGTTCAAGGCCAGTACATTACTGGTCATCTAGCAGTACAGATATCATATAGCCCTTACAAAGTCTGTAACACATTCAAAGACAGCATAACAAACGCTGTGTAAAATTCTCTGATAGAATCTATATGATCTTCACTGATCCAGGTTAAAAAATAAAATATATATAATCTTTGATTGTACTAGTGATTTCCGAGTTACCGAGGAATTGCCATCCTAAATAATCATAACAGGTATGATCAAATCACAATGCTATAGAATGCATTAGCAATCTTGAAGGTACTGCCTGAACATATGGCATTGAGATTGGAATTTGTTGCGTATGAGTTCAAAAAATAGTTTACTCAGCAGATGAAGTTAATTGACATTGCAACCCCACCAGATTGAGCCATTGAGGTATATAACCTGTAAGTTTGAAATTTAGGCTTCCCTTGGTAGGAGAGAAAAGAAGAACGGAAGGAATGGGTACAAAGTAGAAAAAAACCTTTTACTCTTCTTCAATTCAATGGGACAGAGAAGTGAGTGAACGACCAAATAAAGCATTACACTGTTACAAGAAAACCATCAAAATTGGCACAGCATCTCCTCACCTGTCTCTTTCTTTCTTCTATATCAGCTGCATGATTTGCAGATTTTTCTATTATATGTTGAATATTTTATACAAAATACATGTCCAAAGCTGTTAGGGTCCAGGAAGAAAATAAAGGAACAGTCAAATACAAGATAGATTATGACCTCATGGACACAGCAAACTCCCGTCTACTACCTAAAATTCTAACAATTCAGATTTGCGGAACAACAGCGACTTGGAGCAATTATATAAAACCCAATCAAGAAGCTAACCTTCTAACAAAACATAACTGATGATTAAAAGTTAAAACTAAAAACCGATGGGAAAAATGTTAAATTTGGTTTAATTTTCCAACAGAAAGCACGAGACTTCAACTCTATGGTTTGATATATAAGATCATGCAACGGACCAATCAGATAGGCCTAAACTACGCGCATGAAGAGTGGTACAATTGTAAAGCAAGGCTTCTACCTATTAGTTATGGCCCTTGGTTGACCAAGTAAATACATTTTCCTCTCGCTATGGCCAGCAAGAGGACTGCATCGGGCGGCTACCGCCTCTTGCATGAACATGACAGTGTGGTGGTTTTCCTCCTCCTAAAGTTGGAAGAACGTGTAATGATGCAATGATCTACTTATACAGGCTAACAGTTAACGAAGTGTGTGTTTCTGGTTGCCGTTGAAGGCGAGAGTTCAACTGATAGTAGTAGGACAAGTATAGAAAGAAGAGGGGATTTGGAAAACAATTTGTTGCTCAAGGGAATGACTAGGTTACTAATGGTTACCAAGAACAGCTTATTTACAAAGAAGAATATCTGGGGTTCTTTTGTTTTTGATAATTACAGGCAGCTCGAGGTAAATTATCATCACGACGAACCCTATCAATAAACAAAATATAATTACAGTCCACGCATCCCAAATTCTGATTGTTGATTTAAATTGAAAGCTATTAAAGTGAGCTTAATGTTATCATTATGCTATATAGTTAATACATATCCAAAACAGTTTGGGATATATATGAACTTAATTTGTATCACTTTAGTACATAAGAAGACACCCATGTATCAGCAGGCAACCCAAAGTTTCAATTTTAATTCTATCAAATTGGATAAGGCTAATATGTCTCACATCCTTCCAGCTGCAACGACCTTAATGCAGAGAAGAAAAAGTATAGAAATATGAATAACCCTTCATTTGCACTGTATCAAATTGAACAGAACTTATCAAGAACAGCATGAGTTCTTGGTCTGAGTTTGCTTTGAGCCATCATCATTCACAAGGCTTACCCTATTGACAGTTAACTCAGCTTTGTATGAATCAGAATTCAACACTCTCCTGCTCACGTTGTTATAGATCTCTCGAATGACAATCTCAAACGCAGTTCTGACGTTGGTGGAATCAAGTGCAGATGTCTCAATGAAAAACAAGCCTTCTGCTTCTGCCAAGCTTTTACCTTCTTCCAAAGTCACTTCCCTGATATTTTCCAAATCACATTTGTTTCCCACCAGCATCCTTGCCACTGTCGTATCAGAATGTGCTGGAAAAAATGTTCCATCACAATCAAAATTTCAGGATATTGAAACCAAAATGAAATAAGGGAAATTGCCCATATAAATAACATATACAATCCAAAAGGCAGCACGAGAGAGCATCAGACATATCTCATAGTAGCATCATTACATTTGCTCCACCAGTTTACATTGTGTTATGCAGGGTAATCTCCTAATGTAATTTTCAATCCTCAAGGTTAAATGAGCCATGATTTCATCTAAAACTGGATTTTTTTTTTCCAACAAAAAAAAAAACTGGATATTCAAAATAGCTCCTCAAATAAGTCTAAACTGAATTTTATATTAAAAAAAAACACAAAATCCCAGATTGTGGTTTGAAGAATATAAAAATCCCAGCCAATAACTCCCTGAATTCTACCAAAGCAGCCAATGCATTTCCAAGCAAAAGCAAGAAAAATTAAAACTTTGTCCGCACCCAAAAACCAGAAGAAAAGAAAGAAAAAGTACTTACAGTTGAGTTCATCGAGCCACCGAGCAACATTGTCAAAAGTAGCTCTCCTGCTAATATCATAAACCAACAAAGCACCAAAAGCACCCCTGTAATAAGCAGAAGTCACAGCACGGAAACGCTCTTGGCCTGCAGTGTCCCAAATCTGAGCCTTAACTTCCTTGCCATCAATCTCCACGCTCTGGGTCTGAAACTCCACCCCTATGGTTGCCTTGGAGTGAGCATTGAACTCGTTACGTGCATATCGAGAGAGAAGGTTGGATTTTCCCACGGCTGAGTCCCCTATTATCACTATTTTGAATAGGTACTCTTCCACTGCTTCATCGTCTGACATTTTTCTTCTTTTCTGGATTTGAGATTTAGATTTTCACTAGATTTTTGGTGGTGGGATTGGGAAAATGAATAAACTGTTTTTTGAGGTAAAACAGGGGAAGACGAATGGAAGAAACTGGCAGAGACCAACGGTGGACCAGGTTGTGTAATGTGACTTCATTACTAAGCCCACGCGCATATTATGTTCAGACTAATTTTCATTTTCCTTTTAATTTTTTTAGTTATTAGGATTATTTTGACATTTTTATCTCATGTACTTCTTTTCTTTTTTTGGAAGAATCGCTTTATTGCTTTTATTAATAGAGGAAGATAAAATTTTAACATGTCAAACATCATAAGATGGCTTGCTCTTGTTTGGAGAAGAATAGAAAATTGAATAAATATATGTAATGAAAAAGCTTAAATTCGTCATAAAATTAACCACATGTTTATAAAAGTATACATAATAGAGAATAAAATAACAATTACAACATCTAATTTGAAAAAAAAAAAATTTCCTTTTTACATTATTAAGTTGAAAAAAAAAATCAATAGAAGAGTTTAAATTTGCTCACAAAGCTCACCTAAAAATTGATTAAACTTAAAACTTTTTCCAAATGATCTTATTTATTGTTGTTTGATTTTTTTATCTAAAAAATACAATTCTTTACTTTTATTTTTTAAAAATATGAAATTTAAAAGTTATTATGAAATTTTGAACTCAAAACTTTTAATTAAATAATTATTTTTCAAAAGATTTAAATTCATGTTACATTTTAAAACATAAAAAAAACTTTACTAGTAAAACAGGAATGCATTTAATATGAGCTTGAATTACATTTAGGGGCAGGCCAGAGAGAAGGCGAGGCGCGTGGGACATAGGAAGGTCCTTGGGAAACTTGTAAGGGATTGGGAGTTGGGAGGCGTGACCATTAATTGCCAGATCATTCACTTATACCGCCACATGCAACATTACCGAAACTACACCAAGAACACTTGATGTCGCGCATGCCAATGCCCGACCAACCTTCCTTTAAGGCTCGACCCTTTTAATCATTTCAGTAAGTCCTAATTAGCATCTTTAATCTTGGATCAATACCTAAATTTCCATAATTACCACCTTCGCTACTTAGGATCAAGATAAACCGTTTCTAAAATTTATATCCAGAGTCCACTTATTATCCAAAATTAATTAACTTATCCATTCAGCTATTAATGCTTTTATCTTCTATTATTATAGATATTAATTTTAAACCTTTTTTATAATAATTAATATTTTTAAAAAAAAATTAACGTTAAATTTAAGGATTTATTCCTATCCGTCATGTCGACAGAGTTTCAACTCAATTTGATGTTATTATTATATTAATCGAAAAAACATATTAAATTTATTAAAATTTTATTATCATCAAATAAATACTTAGATATTTATGATTTACATGAATAGAAATATAGATGAATTAACAAAAAAATAACTCATAGAATAAAGCATGATAATATTTATTTATCTTGTAGGCATATACGAGGTGCTTCCGCCTTCATCTCCATTTTTCACCAGCAGAATCAAAGGGGCCCCATGCCTAAAACAAAACGGATTTTTGAGAAGGAATGGAATGGATATGTGGGCGGAGAAAGGACACATGGCTTTGCTAAAACTGACCAGAGAAACCTTCCGATTTGAACGTATACACAACTTGTCAATCCCCTTCCCACTCTTCCCTTCACGCGTTCCGCTATTTTCAGTCCTCACAATGCCGGTATTCACTGCAACACTAGGCTCAGTCTCTTTCCTCTCTCAGCTCTTCAACCCTGATGTCTCCTCATTTTCTTGTTTCCTAAACCAATCAAAGCTGTCCAACTTATGTTGCAAGCCTTCTCTTATCAAGAGGCCGCCTTCGTTTTACACTCTCAAAGTCTCTGCTCTCTCTGCTTCTACCAATGCCAAAACTGATAATTCTGAACAAGCTGAAGCCGCTGCCACCGCACTTCTTGACGACTCTGTTTCCTCTGATGCTATTAGACAAGAACGGGTGTGGTTTTACTACTCCACTACGATTCTTTTTGTTATGTATTTGTGCTTTCATTGTTTATTGTTGGTGATACTTCAACGTCAGTTCCGCTTTAAGAAGTCTACATTTATTTAAGTTATGTTGGGCATGAATGTATTATGCTTTTAACTGTTTTGGCAGCATAATTCTGACAAATCAACATAGCTTTTGTAATGGGTTAGTTTTTACTATTGTAGGAATTATCCACGTGCTTTGATTTAACTAGTTGGATATGTAATTCAAGTTCTGTGGTTTGATACTTGTGTATACAATCTAATACTTAGTTCCTGCAAAGAAGTAGAGGTCCGCTGATTGGAAGGCAGCCAGGGCGTACTCTCACAGTGGGTTCATCTATGAGGGTAGAGTTGAAGGATTTAATGGTGGAGGTTTGCTGGTTCGCTTTTATTCTCTTGTGGGTTTTCTTCCTTTTCCACAGTTGAGTCCATCACATTCTTGTAAAGGTACTATTTACAGCTTGCTGCTCCTATTTGGTTTTAACTAATTTTGATCTTTACTCTCAGAATTTCCAATATTTTAATTTCTGTTTTCTACCACATACCTTTTGCATACAGATTAAATAACACGGGAAGGGAGTAAATTGTATGCTTGGAAATTAAAGTGGGTTATGGTGTTGAGAAATGTTTATGTTTTCGTTTAAGTAATATCTTATGTTGAGGAAATTTTAGGAAACCGATTTGTATGCTTTAATTTAGCCTGTGATTTCAGTGACCTTCCTGTGAAACCGGAAGCATTCTTTTACTTTGACAAGGTAGAGAAGAACTAGATTGTTAAATAAATTTGTTCATTAACCTGAAGTATCAATTTGCAGCTACACATCTTGAGGGCAGCAAATGAACATTGCCAAATACCCTTTATATCTAGACATGGAGTTAAGATTAACTTTCTTCCGAATTCAATTACTTTCTTCTCTTTTTTCCCTCTCTGTTGTTTCTGTCTTCATAGTCTTTGTGCATTGACTTCATGCAATAGAATATCTCTTCTTCACATCTCATGATTTGTTTATATTTTCATTCAAAACATTTGTTCATCTGAAAAGATAAGTTTAACTTTAATGTATCTAATTATCTACAGTATACTAAAAGGAGGTTTAGCATGCGATCAATCAGCTAAATATAAGTATTTCTAGCCTTCTAGGTTGTTACCATATCTAGTGGAACCAAGGGTAAAGAGGGTATGGAGTCTAGATGAATAGCTGATGTCACGTATCTTCTAGGCTTATTACTGAGGCAATTAAGGAGAAATACTACTGGTAAAAATGTGTCTGCTAAATTTGAAGTAGCATGTGATGACTTATTCATTCTGGAGAATGGATCATTAGAAGGTTCTGGAATTGATATGTCTACTAATTAAAAAATGCCTTACTTTTCACCCTCTTCAGCATTCTAAGGATTGTAGTGAAAGTTTCCAGCTTGCTGCACTAGGATTCGGGACTATTGCAAATTGCATTTCACTGTTTTCCATCTATCGTTAAGAATGCTGTTGGGCAGACTCTTCTATTTGCACATTCTTCCCTGGGCAAAGGAGAACCCCATTCCTCATATTGCTTACTTTTATATTTAGTCAGATTAATTTTTGTACTTCCACTCACATTATCCACTGAAACCTAATCTGCTGCAATTTTTATGATAACATATCATGTAGAACCACGCAAAACTATCCATCAGATTGCCAAAAGTTTGGTTGGTGCACTTCTTTCAGTGAAGGTAATGAGTTTCTCTTCTATTTTATCCTGTGGTGTTAATCATCTTCTTTCATCTGATAAATGATATTTGTTTTTAATCATTATATGCAGAATGTTTAACTTGTTCCTTTTTCCCCTTCTCTTCCATTTTGATAAATAATTCTTGAAGAGTTATGGTTACTTGTAAGAGAGTGCTACATGTGTAGTAATTTAGTATCGTATCTTATTATTTTAGGTAATCCAAGCTGATGAAGAGACCAGGAAATTGATATTCTCAGAAAAGGAAGCTGTCTGGTCAAAGTTTTCTACAAGAATTAATGTAGGGGATATTTTTGCAGGAAGGGTGGGTTCTGTTGAGGATTATGGCGCCTTTGTTCACTTACGCTTCCCTGATGGTATTTACAGTCTCTGATTTGTATAGCTCTAGTTTTCCTCCGATTTTTCTTTGGTTTTGCAAATCTTATTATGGGCATTCTTATAACTATGATGCAGGGCTTTATTATCTCACTGGACTAGTACATGTCTCAGAGGTTTCCTGGGATTTAGTTCAAGATGTCAGAGACATCTTGACTGAGGGAGATGATGTTAGAGTGAAGGTTGTTAATATCGATAGGTGAGTTTTCCTTGCTTCAAATCTATGTTATTTCCATTACGCAAATTATTTAATCATTTCAAAAATTTCATAACCATAGCGATATGTCTTATTTATCAAGAATATTGTAATATTTGTTCCTATATAATATAGGGCAGGTAAGCCTGTGGCTTCTAATAAATTATTTGTGGTGGATTCTTTTTCTTTTTTCTTGTCCTCTCTGCTCTCTACATATTATCCTTGTTTTTCTGTAGTGCCACTTGCACTGAACTTATGTTGAGCTTTTATGTAGGGCCAAGTCAAGGATTACTCTATCAATCAAACAGTTGGAGGAAGACCCACTTTTGGAAACATTAGACAAAGTGATTCCCCAGGTTTGTGAATTGGAGTTGTGATAGATAATCCTCACCCTGAATTTTAGTTTCAATTTCCTTGAGATGAAATAATAATTGTGGTTAGCAATGGACTTACACTTCTCAGGATGGTTCAGCTGGTTCGGATTCCTTGACCACAAGCAATGGTAGTACAATTGAACCACTTCCAGGGCTCGACGCAATATTCAAAGAGCTTCTGCAGGAAAATGGGTAAGCTTTCACAATGTTCTTTCATTATTGTCCTATATTTGTCTTGAACTTTTACTCTTCATCTCGAATGCAGTGGTTACTTTTACTGTGTTATCTGTTTTTTCTTTTATATTTCCAAGTATCTTCATGTTATTTTTCTCAGGTTCCATTTTAAGTTTCTTTCAAATTTGGATGTCTTGGTACAATTTTATTCATTTATGCTTGTTTAGTGAGTCAAAATGTCAGGTTTACTTCACCATGCATACAAGGTCTAGTTTGATGTTATATATGTCTATGTTATCATCTTCCTTCATATGCACTTAACATTTCACTGCTATACTTATATTCCAATATTTCTAACTTCACAAAATTGTCAGATCTACAATTCTATATGTCCCAATTTCCTTCATATCCATCTCAAATTTAAGGCCTAGTTTGATGCTATGTCTGTCCTCGTGTGCATGTGGTATATGAGTTCAGGACCATTACTTGGAAGTTGGAATCTTGATGTTTATAAACCAGAGGCTCTGTTGCTAGGCCGGTTTTCTTGAAGAAAGTAGATATGTCAATAGAATTGTAGCATCTTTTTTTTTTTTTTTTGGCAGCCTAATTTTTAGCAGATACTTATTCTGTAATGATATTCTGGTCCAGTATAGATGATGTACGAATTAGTCGGCAAGGGTTTGAGAAACGGTAGTCTCACAAGATTTGCAGCTTTGGCTTTCAAATGTGAGTTGTTTTATTCTTGATCTTACCATGCAGTGCTCATCATCAGTATGCGATCATATCTTAATATCTAATTGTCATCTGGCTGCAGGCACCACCTAGTGACAATATGTTCACCCTCCTAGCTCGCGCTGGAAGGCAGGTAATGCATCATATGATCTCTCTCTCTCTCTCGTTCCAACACACACACACACACACACACACACACCACACTAATTTTTTGGCATTTACATCATTCTTTTATCATTTAGGTGCAGGGATACAACTGACGAACTCCTTGATCAGAAGGTATTAAGAAGGCATTGCAACGAGTACTGGAACGTGTTCCGTGAATTAAGTTTCAGGTCGCAGATTATCATATATGGTTATACAGGGGTTTTTGTTCCTTTTTCTTGTTTTCCTCTTCAATGTTTATTTTGCACAAAAATTAATAGGCGTTCATTCTCTAAGCTGTGTATCATGTTAATAGTTTATATTTTAAACATTTAACCAATATACTTCTAAATCATGTATAAGAAAAGATTGGTCTAAATGAAGAATTTCTCTTTTATTTTTTTTTTTTAAAAAAAAAACATCAGTGGAGGAGGAGGAGAAAAGGCGAAAGACATGAATAATAGCCATAATCTCTGCAAAGTTCGAATCCTATATACCAAGAGGCCCAAAGAAACCTCAACAATATAATCATCATAATTCTGTAATACCCTCCACCACATCCTGCGGATCAGGTTTGCCTATCGTTGACATTCCAAATTGAATTAAATTACCCCTCATTTGGAGATGCCATGGACACCAGAGCCTAGTGTGGAGGGGTCCGCTTGGTGATGCATCCATGGTTCCTCCACCAACCAATATAACGAGTCAACCCCATCACGTGCTTGTATCCAAAATAAGGAATGAATTTTAACAAGGGTAAAAACCCACATTTGTCGTTGAAAGGGACTCATGGCGCGCCAACGAATTAAAGAGCCCAAAGTCACGCACTGCCCATCATCAGCCATCGACCATCACTCATGCGAGCTCCTCCACACCCCCCCCCCCCCCCCCCAAGTTTTAATTTGTAAATAAAAAATATTCTTTCCGTCAATTTAATTATTAAATCTTCTGTTAACTTATCAGCTGAAAGTTACATCGACTAAGCATCATTAGATTTTTTTTAATAGTTAATTGACGAGAGACGAACTTTTATAATATAATTTGAAATTTGAAAACAAAAATGACAAATCTAATTGGTGGATGAAAAAAACTCTAATAATTCATGAATGATCATATAATGATTTTATCGCATATTAATCACAAAAATCTGATTAGTTATTAGGACATATTGCTAAGAGACACACAACTTCTTGAGTAGTGGACGTTAATGATCTATTTCTTGACAAGTATATGATAAAAATGAAAAATTTTTAATTAGATAAGAAATTAATGTACCTATGAATATATTTGCAAGAGAAATGCTTTAGCATATTTACATTCAGCAACTTTCACTCATGTCTGTCATTTACATATAAAATTTATCTTCGTATTTACGGATGATGAATACATAACAAATTAGACATAAGATTTTGAGACTTTATGACAATAACCTTTAATTTGGTGTTTCTACTATATTTTCAATCATTTAAAACCTTTCAAGTAACCAATTCTTGGCATATATACCATTTTGGTGATTGAGAAAAAAAATGCAAGTTTGTTTGTATATATCTTAATACGTTTAAAGATTAAACTCCATCAACAATATGTGCTGTGACAATTGTAACATTTAATGTTGCTCATTTAACCATCATATTTCAGTGAAACATAACAATATTCATTGTAATCTAATTCCTCAAATTTGTCTTAAAGAAAAACCAATCCCTTAATATCTTTCTGAACCATAAGATAAAGCAAATGGCTTTGGAGATAAACTAGCAATAAACGGGGGCCTCCATATTCCTTCCTCTATTATCAAGCACATTGTGAAGGGGCAATCAACATTCCTTGTAATTATTCAAGTTTGGTGGGCTGAATATTTTATCAACGAGCATGCAATTATCTATCGATTTTCCGCTATGAAAAATTTGGAACATGCGCCTCGCGTTTCCAGCTTCATTGGATATGCTTCTCAGTTAACAAAGTTAGTGGTGCCGAAGTGGAAAACGGAACCGAAGGAGCTGAGATATTTCTTTGAAACTTGAACGTATATAGGTATACCAGGATAATTTTATTGACTACTTCACCCAGCTAATTACTCTTCATTTCCCCCAAGAGAAAGAAACAAATCGAAGGAGGACACAGCTGATGGGAAAAGGCCTTTCATGAGTCGCATCAATATAGAGCTGCTGATTTCCTAATCCCAAAACAGCGTCCTCGTCAACAGTTCAGTAACTTATGTCAACTGCGGCAATGAAGATAATAATGGCGCTGCCGCTAGTGTCAACTTAACGGGGAGTCTATTTTTCTTCTCAACTAGATTCAACCTGTTAGAGTCTGTAGGTTGCGGCAATTTGGCTACTTTGTTTACTCCATCCTGTAAGATGTGGCGACGTGACTTCTAATGGCGGCTGCTACGGCCCATTTTTTGAAAATCTGACTTCGTATATTGCAACCATGACAAAAATCAATCCTGCGAATAAGGACAGCAAGAGATGCGGTTCTGTTTTCATGTTTGACTGGTCCTTGTTGGATTCAGATTTGACCCTTCCGCCTGACATAAACATTGATACAACGCATATTCTTGCAACGCTGGAGTGGACTCCGAATGCTATTGGGAATGTCACTAGCTACTCACTTTCACTATTCACTAGCAATTTTTGATAATGTTTCTTTATTTCTGTTTAGATTTTCATTCTTTCAATTTACCCAAAAAAATGTTTTTGAATTTGATTTCTTTGGTGTTGCAATTTACTTCTTATTGCTAAGCAGCCAGACTTCGCCAACAACCAGGCGCGGTAGCCGATTATACAGAAAGATGTGAAAATGTTTATATTCATATCCATTTGGAATAAAAGTCGATTGTTGCAAAAATGAGTGGTTTAGAGTAACATGCAAAAAAACTGCCAACGCGGCGAAGGCTTTCATAAGGAGAATCATTCTGCAACAAATCTCAGTTTCATTTTCCGAAGGGAGCATTGTCGTTAACAATCCAGTAACATATTTCAACTGCAACAATAAAGATATTAATAGGGTTAGTGTCAACCTACAGGCAGCCCGTTTTTCTTATCAAATACCAAGCGGATCCGGGGCTGCAGGTTGTGGCAGTTTGGCTACTATATTTCTCAATCAAGCTGATGGTTATAATTATGTTGGTGACTGCCTGCAACCCCGTTGTAGCAATGTTGTGACTTCCGAAGGTGGTTGCCGCACGAGAATTCCTCCGGGTCTCAGTTCTTTCGTTGCAAACATGAAAGAGAATTATCCTAGTAATGGCAGCAACAGATCGTGCGGATCTGCTTTCATGATTGACTTAAGTTTGTTGGATCCATCTGGGACAACATTTCGAGACCCCCATGAGATAAGCATTAGGACGCACGTTCCTACAATACTGCAATGGGTCACACCAAAATATGGGCTGTGCGAGTTGAAAGAAGGTTCTAATATCCTTTGCAGCTCTGATGGTGAAGATTGTTGGTCAGGCTTGAGCACCGGGTATGGGTATCCGTGTGTTTGCAACAACGCTGAGACCCAAGATAACAGATTTGATAATTGATATTTTCGTATTTTAAATATGTCAAATATATATATGTTAAGATTAAATATAAATATGATATAAATATTATTCGTGTTTTAAATTTAAAATACATGCACACATATATAATAACAATATAACAGAACATGATATGTTTAATACGTTTTTTAAACGTGTCAATATATGACATGACGCAATTAATAACACAATTAACATATTTCACACGATTAAATAAAAATGTTTATAATTAAATATAATTTTATTATTTAAATTTAAAATCAATAATTGTAAAAACGATTATAATCAAACAAAATAACAATAACATCAAATATAACAAAATAAAATTTAAACTTAGGGTTTGGGCAAGATATAATTATATTATTACCTTTATAAAATTTAAAAATCATATTAAAATAATTATTTAAAATTATTTAAGTAAGGTTAAAATAATCTTTGATTATTAATTTTTAACAAATTGATAAACGTGTCATGTATATACGTTTAAACACAATAACACGATTAAACATGTTTATACATTTAAACATAATAATATGATTAATTAAATGTGTTTCAAATGTGTTACTCGTATTTGACACGTTAAGACACTAGATATGAATATAATTTTTCTTTTGATTAATTAACATATTTTTAAATGAATATTATAACTTTATTTTATCTATTTCATAAATGATAGAAGCAGGCAAATGTGGGCACCCTAAATATAAGTATTGTCATATACTTTGTTGCTGGCAACTATTGTTCGTCTCCTTGTCCCGATACATATGAATACAACAGAATTGAAAGAATATGCAAACCAAAAGAACAACCTGATCCACCAACATATCTGATCTAAGAGCTTAGGAATTGGGCAATCATTATAGATGCATATTAAATTCACTTTCTGATATATTGAAAATATAAACCATGTTGAAGTATATTTATGATTTTCAATATTTGTTTGAAATTAATGTTTTTAATTTTTCCTTATATATATTTGAATTGCACAGGTTGCAGCACGAGTAGTGAGACACTTAAGTATTGAGACACTGTTTCTAGGGCTTGGTACATGGTGTTTGTACAAAGTAACTAAAAAGAAGTTAATTCACAAGCATTTCCGGCCAAAAAACCTAGCGATTGTGCATAGATACCTGTTAAATTAACTTTCTTTTTCTATAAGCCAAGATTAATTTTCATTAATACTTGATTTTACATAAAGTTTTTTAGGCTCTATGTCCTGCCGCCGATAATCATTGGACAACCACGGACTAGCCGCCTTCCCTATGCATTAAATCATTCCTTTCTCTAACTATAGTTACAAGAATACCCAAAAAAACACAACCTCCGGTAATCAAAACCACAGGCATGCTGAACATATTAACCCCAAATATTGAATCAACCAGCAACTTGTCTCAATTTCATTGGCACTCCCTACACCAAATAAGCTGACATTTCCCCTCCGCCTGTTCGGAATTAGCGTCCTCCTCCTTCTCCATGGCCGACACCTTTTATTCATCACCCACCTACTCAAACAACTCGAAGCAGTCTCAATTACTGCAGCTTGCTTCCATACCCACTCCAGCTAACAAGAGCATGCCTCCTGAGCTATTTTGATCGTCTCCAGATCCAGCATATTTGTATGCACAAAAACCTCATCTGTCCTAAAAACATCAACATCCCACCTCCGTGGTATATACACACTTGAGTTGTATAGGTTGCAGCACAACTTGCTACATGGCAGAGGTACAAAGTACTAACCATGTTGAAATATATTTACGGTTTTTAACAATTTATCAATGAAGTGATAATTTTATCACAAATTAACTATGCCTGGAGACAAAAGTCTCTTTGCTAGCGTAAGACTTTGTCTCAAATGGAACACTCTCTCGACTCATACATGATCTACATGATCAAAACGAAAAATTTCTATTGACAAGAAAATGCGTCTCCATATTGTAACTGAAATTACGAATGTTTTATCTTATCTGCATCTGACTGCTTCTATTCTTATTTACCATCGAGACATAAAATTTAATAATATACTTTCATATGATAAATATAGTGCAAAAGTGTCAGATTTCGGAACTCCAAGATCAATTGCACTTGAGCAAACTCATCTAACCACTACAAGGAACTTTTGAATATTGGATATAGAGTATTTTCGATCAAGTCAATTTACAGAGAAAAATGATGTTTATAGTTTTGGAGTTGTTCTTGTTGAATTATAATGGGACAAAAACTCATCTTCTTAAGACAATCAGACGAAGTGAGAAGCTTGGTCTCTTTTGTTGCTTCCAATGAAAGACAGTTCTTTGTTTTATATTCTTGAGAAGCTTGATATCTTGTTTTGCTTTCAATAAAAGAGAGTTCTTTATTTGATATTCTTGATCTCGGGTTTTGAACGATGGTAATGTCTGAACCTTAATGGAAAGAGAAGGCCTACAACGAAACAAGTTGCCATGGAGCTGAAGAAAATTAGAGTATCAAGAGAAGCAAATGCTATTCAACAAAGTGACGATGATGATTCTGATATAGACGATAAAATCGAACCTTGGGCTATGGCTTCTTGTTCGACTAGGTCAATACTAGCGTAACTTATCACATGGGTAATCCTAGATTCAACACTTATTAAACAGTCTTCCATTGGTGTGTGAACTCTGTCTATTATATCATAGATTAGTTGAGGTCGTCCTTCTTCTGAATTCTACTAGTTTTGTCTCATTCGTTCTTCCTGACGTATTAGTTGAACTTTAATATTGTTAATTATTACCTGTACTATGTTCTAAGGTTTTTAGCCTATAAAAGATGCTGAACAAAAGAGAAGTGTTTCTCGGTTGTTACAATTATATATAGCATCTACAAAAGCACTTCTCTAAAAAATTCAAATCAAAGAAAATTGAAGAATTCTAAGACCCATATTTGTTACATCTATAACATCTTATGTTTCTATTGGTATTTTTGTCAACTCTGGTTTTCTGCTTGTTTTCTTTTCTATAATTTTTTGTCAATTTTCTTTGATTTGTATTTTTTTACTTTGATTAGAAGAAAGGTTATATTTTATGTCAAATTGTTGACAGAATGATTCCAATTCTTCCCTGGTCTGGTGTCTTTCCTTCTTAATTGCTTTTGTAATTTAAGATCTTGGTAAATTTTTAAGTCTCGGATGTTAATTTTCACAAGGAATAATTCCATTAAAAAGTTCTTTCTATTGGGTTTCTCATTTGTATTTTTCTCATTTTTATTTTTTTTTTGTTAGGTTTGTTTATGAATTAAAAGGACACTTTAATTCCTAAAACTCTTGTCGTAATGGCTATGGAGGAAATCAAAGATATAAAGAGTATGTCAAGAACGACATTTTGCATTATGTTTTTGATTAATAAAAATGGAGTTTGAATCTGATACCATTTTTGCAGATACATATATTCAAACCCCAGAAGCTACAATTTGAGCCATCTCGGTGGGAGGAGGAGTGTTAATTTGTTTGACATCAAGGTCATCCGACTCCTTCGTCATCTTGTTCTTGACATACATCCCATATACGTAGGAACAAAATCCCCACACACACATAACAGTGGACACAACCTTAACCCCACCGAACTCCTCCCCGTACACCAACACCCCTCCCAACACGTTCATGCCCAGCAACGCCGTCATGCATATCCCTCCTGTCAACGAACTCGTCAAGAACACCATCCCCGCCGTCCCCATGAAGCACAGCTGCCAAGTCACCACGTTCGATACCACCGCCGCCCAGTACACCCTCTCCCCCTTGTCGAACACCTCTCTGCTCTCCCTCCTCATCTCCGCAAACCCCCCGTCGCACGCCATCCCCACACTCGCTAACGCCGTCGCCGCTATCTCCATCACCAGCTGCATTTCCATCACCATTGCGTAGCAGTACACCTTCTTGTATATCATCTCCATGATCGGCAGATATAGGGCGAACAGCAATCCCGCCCCTATGGTCGCCGTAAATCCTATGAAGTACTTGGCTCGGGTCAGGCCACGAGGTTTGTCATGGCTGGACTCAAAGGCTAGGAGGGCTGAGCCAAGTGTCAGTAGAATGACGCAGTTGAGATTCATAAAAGTGATCTTTTGCTTCACGATGATTACAGACAGAATGAGATTGAATACTAATTGGGATGAGAGAAGGAGAGAAGAGGTGGATACAGGCAGGTAAGAGTTGCCCCAAGAGAAGAGAAGGTTGTTTATGCCTAGCATCAGGCCTATGAATATGGACAAGCCTAGGACTTTGGGAGTGAAATGAGTGAAGGGCTTTCTCCCAGTGCACTTGAACAGATAATAAGGAAGGAAAATGGGGATGACAAGGAGAGGGAACCCTGCAGATTGAACCCACGTTGAAACCCATCTGCTTGAGCCTTTGTGGTTGAAATAGTACTTTGAGAGCAAGCTTGAGGATAAAGAACCCACGAACAGGCAGGCATAATTGATAAACAAAAGAGGCAGATAGCGCTTGTTTGTGAAGGCCTTTTGGTCTTGTTCGTCAATATAATGTGACTGGTTGCGGCTAGAACTAGGATTAGTGCTGTTCATGGTTTCCTGACGATAAGAATACTAATGAAATCAGATCCAATATATTATTGTTGTTGCTCCTGCTGCTGTTGATCAGTAACGCTGCAAAATGTTTTAGGTGCGTTTTTTTTCAGTATTGGGCATTGCTGAACAGATTTCCATGTAAAGGAGATGAAACCGAGGGAACAAATCCGTGCCGTTTGAGGATAGATGAGTGGGCCATCACTTTCAGTACTACAAGACAAAGAGCATTTAAAGCCAGGTTGACGAGACCAGCTCCAAAAGTTTCATCGCCTGGCAATTGAAGAAGAAACACAGAACTGAAATATAACATCAAAAGATGAAAACTTCTGGGGTCAAAAGGCGATTAATCATGCTTTAGCGTTACTGACAATAAAGAGTCCGACTCTAGCGTAAAGGGGTAGAGTGAACACAGTATCGTGCTCGCCGGTCATTGCTAGTGTTCAATAGTTCAAGTTCAGTCTGAGGTGAGCTTAGCCTGATTTTGCTTTGTTTTGATTTGATAGGGCCACTGCCAAAAGCTGCTTGCTTATTTAATAACCAGCTGGAGATAATCTGGTCTGCCCCCATTAGCTTAGGATGTAGTTCGCTAATTACTAGTAAAGAGATAAAGATGATACTGGTGTGGGGCCCCCATTTGCTAAGTAAAGCTGATCTGAATATTTCTCTTAAAAGATAAATAATAGTTTATCTCTCATACACTAAATTATTAAAGTCTATAATTCCTTGGACGCGCCAAGCCGCCAATGCGACCATAGCAATGTAGTAATCACCCAGAGACCTAGATTCAATGACGACGACTCCTTGTCATACCTGACTACCTTCAAGCCAGCAGTATAAAAAAAAAAATTTCTTCATTTTACATTTTCATAAATTTTAATTAATAAAATTGAAATATTAAATCCAGTTAATTAAATTAAATCTTCAGAAAACTAATTAATACAATTAAATTGAAAATGTTAAAGTCGCTAAGTAATCGATGACGTTTGAACTATATATAATGGAAAATTAATTTCCATTAACATCAATCATTCTCAACTTTATATACCATATATACGCTTCCCAGTCCAAGGTTATGCATACTGCAGCCAAATAAGGAAAACATAAATGAACGAAGCTGTCCATAGATATTCCATTCTTTTTTTTTTAATCAGGCTGCAGGCATCCAACCATTGTCCTACACCCACCACATCTGATACAGAACCTTTAGGAAATTTCAAACAATAAGTCCTTAAGGTATTAAATTATTTATTCTAATTAAAAACAAAGACATTAATTGTCCATGTTTACATTCATGCAACTATGCCATAATGATTAACACCACGAGACCCCAGAAGGCAAACCAGAGGGAAGAGAGTTGGCAGTGATTAGAATGTTCATGTATGAGATTTAAATTAAATTAACAAATGAGGATGAATTAAGGCCCCAGCCCCCAGGTTTGGAATGGGAATAGAGAAACAAATTAAGAGGAATTAATGTGGAACATTGAATTTATGGATGCTGACTCATTGTTAGTGTTATCGTCACGACAAGATAGAGTTGTACTGGCAACAATTAATGCAGCCTTCCTCAAATTAGAAATAACAAAATGTTACGCCACGGAAAGCTACATATGACATTCAATTTCTCACCATCTGCGTACTAATAATGACCCTGTATTAGCAATCTCTCCTGCCTTGTTCCAGTACTTTCATTCTCAATTTATGTTGTAGGCTTAAAGTCAATGGTGAAGTCCAATAATGCAATGTAGTCCCGAAAACAACCACCTCCATAGAAACAATAGAATGAGGAGCAGATATTTAAATGTTAATCTTCAGTTTTTTTTTTTGTAAAAAGCGTCATTTTGTATATTAATTGAACATAAAATTACATAAATATCGAGTTATTTTCTTCCTTTAACATTTTGTTTATTTTAATAAGCACAAACGCTTAACACCTCTAGGACAATGATAGTGTTGGTATGTAGTTTGGAGGAAATAAGGATATATAGGAGCCTAAGGCTGCATGCATAGCTAATACGAAGTGAACACAGGCAGGGAGTAAATTTTATGCTTGGAAATTAAATCGGATTGTGGAGTTGAGAAAGGTTTATGCTTTCGTTTAAATAATATCTTATGTAGGGATATCGTACCAATTCATGCAGCAAAGAAATCCATGAAATGGCTTTCTCTGTTTTTGTAAATAATATACCTGGTAAGGTGCATCAGCCAGTGGAACCCAACATTTTGGATGTGTTTATTTAAAAATAAAAAACTAATAGTGGGAAATGGTTCGGCTGTGAGGTTTGAACATGCTGCAGATGCCATTGTGGCGGTCGCAAAAGTAAATAGAGCTTGGTTCCTCAACAACAAGGTGGTTGTGAACATAGTTAGATACGGTTGCAGAGACGCTTTCTAGGGAAACGTGTTAACATGTTTCAGGAAAAGGTGTCTGAAAGTCGAAACTGGGACAAAGTGAGGATGAAAGCTGCAAATATGTACAGAGGGTGGCACAGCCTACAAAGTTATGTTATGCAGAGGCTTGAAAGAACATGCAGGGGAACAATCAATCCAAGCTGGACAAAACAAAATCAAAAATGAAACCGGTTGAGGAGGTGGCATCATCAGCTGATGTGGCTAGACAATTTGGAAGATGATTGACAGGGTGAAACCGGATTTTTTGGGCTAATTTTAAATAAATTATGTCTTTTTATAAGGTAATTATTGAAATAATAACTCAAATAGTATGAAATTTTATAAGGTAATAAAATTTTAAATATGAAAAATTATCTTTTTATATCGTAACTCAAATCGTATATCTTTTCATAAAGTAATTATTGAAATAATAACTTTATCTAAATATTTGTGTTTTACAAAATGTAAAGTTGTCTTTAAGATAAAGAGATGCATTGATGAAAGCATTGTGTCAATGAGAAAAAACACTAGTAAATCTATATAAAAGACTTGTTACCAACCATTTTAACACATCAAAAACAAATAAGACAAAAGCAAAAAAGTAAAGAGCAATAGAAATATTATGTTTTCAATATAAACATAAACACTTAAGTTCTCATAATCTATCAAAGGAATTTAAATTCCTTATAAATCACTTGCTACAAAAAGTAGGTCTTAAGACGAAACAAATTTATAAACTTTTAGATGTATTAAGTGGTTTCTCTCAGAAAGTGTAAGAAAAAGCTGTGTATTATTTCCTTTTATATATCGAGTGATGGAAGCGAAATAATTCGTAAAGATAATGCATTGAAAAGTTCAATCTTGAAATCAATTTTTCTGATTTCCTGAGTTTCATCTAAACCTTTTTTTTACCATCAACACTAACACAACCGGGGATAAAAGCTTTACATTGGATGAAGAAGATGTTAATGTATATGGGGAAGAGACGATTGTGAGGGAAATTCAGTACTGTGACAGATGGAGGAGCAAATTAAAGTTGTAATCTGTGTGCTCCAATCAAACGATAATTTGGACCTAATTTGATTGGAGAAGATAACTGGCCAAATGCTGTCCAGGATCTTATTGAGGGAGGAATCCGCAGTCCCAGAGCGAACAAAAGTCTAAAAGTGAAGGGAAAAAAGTGGGGTTTGATGTAGTACAATTTGTTGAACAAAAAAGAGGAACTGTCCAACGAAGGAAAATAGGAAAAAGAGGCAGTTTAGTGGAGGTACTCAATTGCAAACGGATTTCTTTCAGGCGGTGGCTTCATCAACCACAGTGCAACAATCAAATTAGGAAGAAATTGGCATTTTCATCACCTTAATAGGTTATATTATAAACATTTAAACATTTATCCTACTAAATAATCATGTATAAGAAAAGATTGGTGGAAATGATCAATTTTGTTTTCTATTCTCTTAATTTTAAGAAGGGATATTAATTGAACTCACGATTTTTCTTTGTCTTTCTTCTTTTTTATGCATAAGGTGTGACTTGAGATTTTTCTTTTAAATTTTACAGGTATATATGTTGTGGAATATATGCAGCTATATGTTTCAAGTATGAATTGCTCCTTTTATCATTTTTTTTTTTGAAAGGCAAGGAAGAGTTATTTTAGTAACAAATCTTAAAGAACAACCAGCCCTGCAAGTGAGAAGGAACACAAGAACAGCAGGCAAACACCCCCAGAAAGGGCTGTAACCTGTGAAAGCGAAATGAACCCAAAGCAAAAATGCCAAGTTGCAGATAAGATCAATCTGCTGAAAATCTTACAAACACTCCCATAGGAAAACAAAAAGAACATGAGGTCAAAAAAACTCAAGACAAACAAGGAACAAGAAATTGCTAAAACACTCTTACAATATCTGCTTGCAGTAGGACTCCTTTCGCGAGAGTGTCAGCTCTTTGGTTTGCCTCCCTCAAAACATGCCTTATCTCCCAACCAAACAAGCCTTTTTTCATTCTCTCCATTTGAAGTAGCCATTTTCTCATTTTCCACGGTGCTATACTTACACCTGTAGTCCACTTAACAGCGTTACTTGAATCACTTTCGATGATAAGCTGTTGGTGCTCTCTCCACTGTAAAGCTAAAAAAATAAGAAAAGCCTCCCTTATTTCCAAAATCTCAGCAAGATTAGAATCTGCTGTGCCAATACTCTTTGAGAAAATAACCTTCACCTCTCCACTCGAATCTCTCAAAATACCTCTTACTCCCGCTGGCCTTGGACATCCTCTCGCTGCCCCGTGGACATTGAATTTCAAACTCCCTTTTTGTAGTTTCTCCCACTCCATCCCTATTCTTGCTTGTCTTCTTGGCTCCTTTATCATTTTAAGTTATTGCTTAAATTAATAGGCATTTTTTGTGTGTAAATTTTGACAATTTTCACCTTTGAAACAACTATTAATCAAATATCATTTATAAAATTAATTTTAATTAATTTTTTTCATTTTATTGATCTATTCATTAAATTTAATTAATCTACTTATTTTTATTTGATTGATTTGAATGAGAAAATTGGGAACTTAACTTAAGGAGCTTTACTTAAACTTTACCTGTAATAAAATCAATAATTTTTCCTTAATCTCTATGTATCAATAAGTTGATAGAAAGATGCAGATGGAGAGAGTAATATTAGGTCAGTCTTTTCTTTCGCAACATAACATGGTGTGAAAGAATGTTTCTCATACGTGAAAGACTTTTGGATCATGGTGGCCTCCAGGTGGAGTGAACTTGGAATTCTTTGGCCACCGACTTTTAACAACAATTTCTATACTCCACGAAACCACAATAAATTCATTATTTTCATTTGATTTGATTCATCAATCTTGTAACTTGAGATTGTGCTTGACATAATAATACTCACCCTTTTTGCTGTGAAGAGAGCCACTGGGCTTGGGGGCAACAAAATTGGTGGTTGACTCTTGAAACTGAAATGTGACTTAAGACTTACCACCATGCTTCCTCTTGTCTATATAGGAACCCATCTTTTCCAAATGCATGCATTTGTTGTGAAATTGCTTAATGTACTCTGTGTAAAGTTATACGTGTTTCACGCTTTATGTTTAATTAACTTTATGTATTTATCATTTTTTTCTTTTTTAAAGTTTATTATTTTTTTTCATCATTTATAAAATTTGACTCGACTGTTAATATAATTTTAAATTGACACTATATTTAATTTTATTTTCAAATTTTTAATTTATATGAAAAACTTCTTTTCATCAATTTGACAATTAGCTTCCAGCTAACATCTGTTGTTGTATGAAACGCTATATGTTTTGAGAAAAAGCTAGCTGTGCATTACTTTGGGGATGTTAGATTTATTTTTAATCTTTTAAAACCTTTCAAGATTTGTGCAATGCACGGTATGTAAACGTTAAGTAAAATATCGACAAACTCGACCAGTGAAGGGTAGTCATAGTCAACTAAGAGCCTCAACGTACACCTACCTAGTGGGAGGGGGAGAGGACTGTATCCAAAGATGGCAACCCATGATCCACTAATTTGAAAACAAAAGAATTTACTAGTGAGATATAAAATCTCAGTGAACATGAACAGAGAGAGGAGCAAACTAAACCTCGGAGTATTTGCAAACACAATTTCTGATCAAGTATGCACATTTTCTCAAATCAATGCTCAATCAACAACAAATTCTTACACCGTACGACCCCATATTAGTCCAACAAGAACCCTCGGGTGTCAGCTTTAGTGGAGGAAATCGACTGCAAACAGATCTCTTTCACGGGCGGTGACTTCATCAACTACAAAGCAACAATCAAAAAGGAAGCTGAAGAAATTTGGAAAATTAGGAAGAAATTGGCATTTTCCTCACGTTAATAGGTTATATTATAAAACATTTAAACATGTATAAGAAAAGACTGGTCGATATGACTAGTTTTCTTTTCTATTTTCTTAATTTTAACAAGGGATATTAATTGAACTTTGAGATTTTTCTTTGTCTTTCTTTTCCCAGTTAGAGGTTAAATAGATTTTTTTGTGTGTAAATTTTGACAATGTTCACCTTCGAAACAACTATTAATCAAATATCATTTATAAATATTAATTTTAATTAACTGTTTCCCTTTTATTGATTTTTAAAATTTGACTTAATTCGTTCATACAATTTTAAACTAAAATCATATTTAGTTTTGTTTTTAAATTTTTAATTTATATAAAGAGACTCTTTTCCTCAATTTAACTATTAACTTAGAACTAACATTTGTTGTATGAAATGTTAAAAATTTTGAAAGAAAAAAAAAACTTGGCAGTGGATTAATCTGGGGATGTTAGCTTAATTTTTACATCATTTAGAACCTTTCAAGTTTCTTGTAATGCACTGTGAGTGTATGAAACAAATTTCTTGCCATATTTACCATTTGGAGCTTGAGGAAAAAATGCAAGTTTGTTTCTATATGTATAAATACGGCTAAAGATTAAAATCATCAACGAATTCATTAAAAAACTAATTCCTTGAATTAATTTATCTTAAGAAAATTAAAACTGCCTGATACCAAAGCAAATGGCTTTGGAGATATGCTGGCAATAAACGAGGCCAAAAGCAGTGAGCAGTGAGCCAATCTTTGTCTTTTTTGGTCCAAATAAGTCTCGTGAAAAAACATTTTCTTGTCGGCAATTAGGTTGTTTAAAATTCCACATTTCATTAAAATGTTCTTAATGGTATTCGTTGTTTTTTTTTTAAAATTATTTTAACGTTCCTTTGTCCAATCCCTACCCCATGAAAATGGTGAAGAGAGACAAACAAAAAAGTTCTTCTCGACAAACGATAACAAATTTTGATTTTAATCACATTTTTTAGATTATATTTTTTTATGTAGTAAAATTTTAAAAATGTAATTATTTAAATTTTTAATTTCAGTTTTAAATTTTTAGTTACATTCTTTTTACATTTAGCAGCAATATTAGAATTGTAGTCTTAGCCCTAAAAAATATAAAACTATATTATTAAAATATTTATAATAATAAATTTTAAAAAATATGTAATCCTAAATCAAAATTGTGTAGTAATGATACTCGTTACTGATGGATTTAAATTTACGTATTATATATATTTATATATTTACCTTTTAAAAGAATAGATAGGACTCGTTGCAATGTCAACAGTACCTTTGCCTGTTTCAGCCTTGTGTTATGTCATTTGCCATTTTCTCTTCGGTTCTCTCGTAACTCCATAATCCTTCCTTCGTTTACCAAACACATTGTAAACGGGCAAGCAACATTCCTTGTAATTATTCAACTTTGGGGGCTGAATACTTCATCAACGAGCATATGCATGCAATTAACTATCGACTTTCCGCTGTTAAAATTTTCGAATATATGGCTCGCTTTCCAGCTTGATTGGCACTGTTTCTTTCAATAAACAATGTTTACCGAAAGTGGAAAAGGGGAGCGCAAGAGCTAAGAAATTTCTTTGAAACTTTTTACCCATCTAATTAATCTTTATTTTATGAATTAAATCATATCCTTGAATAACTCTTCTTCTAACTCTATATATAAAGTTTTCACGATTCATTTAAAAGTTAGTAACATATTATCAAATATTATTTTACTACATCTATTCTCTTTCACTTGCAATAACATTTAGTAGTTAAAGGATTGCTCCAATATTTATCTGTCCTTTTTACTTATATATAATGTATGGTTCAACTCTCCTTCTCACAAGAACTCCTTTACACAAACAAATTAATGGGACAAGGGAGAAACAGCGAATGGGTGTTCACTCGGTGTATTACTTCATCTTCCTACTATGGCTAACACAAGCAGCAGCATAGCAAGAACCAGGCGAGCTTGGTTGTGCGGAAAATGTGTGGATGTTAATATTTCATATCCATTTGGAATAAAAGCCGGCTGTTATGCGAATACGTGGTTTAGAGCAACTTGCAAAAAAATTGCTAGTGAGCTAAAGCCTTTCATCAGTCGCATCAATCTGGAGCTTCTGTTTTTGTCCTCGAGAATCGTCGTCGTCAATAGTCCAGTAAGTTATGTCAACCGCGGCAATAAAGATAATAATGGCACCGCTGCTAGTGTCAACCGAACAGACAGTCCATTTTCCTTCTCAAGTAGATACAATTTGTTCTGGTCTCTAAGTTGCGGCAATTTGGCTACTATTTTTCGTAACCAAACTTATCGTATTGGTGGCTGTCTGCAGCCAAGATGTGGTGACGTGTCTTCTAATCTAGCTGCCACGCCTCAATTCTTGAAAATCTGAAATCCTATACAGCAACCATATCAGAGATGTGTCCCGATCATAAGGACAGCAGAGATGCAGATCATCTGTTTTCTTGTTTTCAGGGGCATGTTAGATCCAGATCCGGGGCTTCTCCTTGATGGTGACGTAAACATTAGTACGACGCATGTTCCTGCAGTGCTCGAGTGGGATACTGTGAAATGCAACTTGGGAGGTCAACATGTATCTAGTCACTATCACTATTAAATAGCAATCTTTGACAATGTCTTTGTTTTTTGTTTCTTGTTTTCGAGGACTTTCATTTTTTTTTAAACTACCCAAAAAAGAAATATTTGTGAATTTGTTTTCCTTGGTATTAACTTGGTGCAATTTATTTTTTTTGATAAGCAGACACACGATGCAAAGAATTTAAAGCAGTATCTGATAGGAAGTCTGATTGTACAGTGAATGAGTGGTCCAAAGTAACTTGCATCGAAACCACCGATGGGAAAAGCCCTTTCTTAAGCAGCATCGGTCTGGAACTACTCTCTTCTTCATTTACCTAAGGAAGCGTTCAAGTGAACAAACCCTGTAACACATATCCAATGCCAGGATATACATAATAATGGGGTTAGTGTCAACCTAACAGGTAGCCCATTTTCCTTCTCAATCGACAATTATTTCGCATCTGTAGGTTGCGGCAGTTTGGCTACTATATTCTTCACAGTCAAACTCATCTTATTGGTGGCTGTCTGCAATCAGGTTGTAGCAATATTGTGTCTTCCTACGGTGCCTGATTTACGAGTGTTCCTCAGGGTCTCAGTTCTTTTGTTGCAAACATGACAGAGATTTATCCTAGTAATGGCAGCAATAGATCATGCGGATCTGCTTTCTTGACTGATAACATTTCATTAATATATTCACACCGCGTTAAGTTAAGCAGCAAGAAAAACTTTTCTACAAAACTGCAATGGGGCACACCAAAAGTTGCGCCGTGTACGTTGAATGAAGGTTAAGAGGTCTCATGCAGCCAGGATATTATTTCTTACTTAATATATTTTTATTTGAAAATAACTTTATTTTATTCATTAATTTCATATATGACAGAACCAAAAAAATGTCCGTATCCTGAATATAATAAGTATTATAAATATAAGTACTGTCATATGCTTTGCGTGAATGCTCCTGGCAAGTCTTGTGTGCCATGCCCTCCTGGATATCAATACAACTACACCGAACATACGTGCGAGCCAAAAGACTCAGGCTAGGGCGATCATTATAGGTGTGTATTAAATTCTCTTTCAGATTGAAAACATGCACCATTGTTGAAATATATTTATAGTTTTTAATTCTTGTTTGAAATTAATGTTTTCAATTTCACCTTTTATATGTATATATCTTTGCGTTGTACAGGTTGTAGCACAAGTATTGGGACACTGTTTGTACTGCTTGGCACATGGAGTATGTACAAAGTAGTGAAAAGAAGAAAAAGTATCAAGCTTAAGCAAAAGTACTTTAAAAGGAATGGAGGTTTACTACTGCAACGGCAATTGTCCAGCAATGAAGGTAATGTTGACAAAATAAAATTGTTCACCTCAAAGGAATTGGGAAAAGGCTACGGAGTATTATAACGAGAATCGAATCCCTGGTCAAGGAGGCCAAGGAATTATATATAAACGAATGTTAACGGATGGAAGCATTGTTGCTATTAAGAAGTCTAAAATGATGGAGGATCAAAAGATACTAGATGAAATGATGGTTTAACAATTCATTAATGAGGTGATAATTTTATCACAAATTAACCATAGAAATGTAGTTAAGCTTTTAGGATGTTGCTTGGAAGCAAAAGTCCCTTTGTTAGTGCATGAGTTCGTTTCAAATGGAACACTCTCTCAACTCATACACGATAAAAATGAAGAGTTCCCACTGACAAGAAAAATGCATTTACGTATTGCAACAAAAATAGCGAATGCTTTATCTTATTTGCATTTCTCTGCTTCTATCCCTATTTATCATCGAGATATAAAGTGTAACAACATACTTTTGGATGATAAATATAAAGCAAAGCTGCCAGATCAATTGCAATTGTGCAAACTCATCTAACCACTCGAGTTCAAGGAACTTGCCGATATTTGGATCCAAAGCATTTTTTATCATGTCAATTTACAAAGAAAAGCAATGTTCATAGTTTTGGAGTTGTTCTGATTGAACTTTTAACGGGACAAAAACCTATCTCTTCCACACAATCAGAGGAAGCGAGAAGCTTGGTAGCCCTTTTTCTACTTTCAATGAATGAGAAGTCATTGTTTGATGTTCTTGATCCTCATGTAATGGATGATGGTACACAAGAAGAGATTATAGCCGTTGCTAAGTTAGCAAAAAGATGCTTGAACCTTAAGGGACAGACAAGGCCTACAATGAAACAAGTTGCGATGGACCTGGAGCGGATTAGAGCGTCAGGAGAAGCTAATGTTATTCGAAAAAGTGATGATGAAGATTCTGATATAGCTGATACGATCCAACCTTGCGCTGTGACTCCTTGTTCGACTAGGTCAGTTGTAACTAATACTAGTGTAACTTTACCATCCGATGCATAGTCCCAGTTTCCAACCCTCACTAAACAATCTTCCTTTGGTGCGTACTTAGTGTAATGTATCTTCATGTTTAGTTGTGGTCATCCTTTTTCTAAATAAATCATGAAATAAGGCCTTAGGTATTAAATTGTTATGGTAATAAAAACACAAAAAAGTTAATTGTTTCTGCTTACATTCATGGCATAATGATTAGCACCATGAGACCCTAAAAGGCAAACCAGAGAGACGAGTGTTGGCAGTGATTAGAATATTCGCGTATAAAATTTAAATTAAATGAACGAATGGGGATAGATTAAGGCCCCATGTCTGGAATGGGAATGGAGAAACAACTTAAGGGGAATCAATATGCTACATTGAATTTATGGATTCTGATAGTCAGTGTTATAGGTAAGACAATAGATGGACTTGTAGTGACAACCATTAATGCAGGCTTCCTGCAATTAGAAGAAAACATAAAGTTATGCCAGAGAAAGCCATAAATGACATTCAATTTCTCACTATTTGCGCACTAATACATTAGCAAACTCTCATGCCTTATTCCAGTTTCATTTATCTTACTATTTGCGTACTCTCGGGCGGCTAGAGCACTGTTAATTTATCTTACATTTGTTTGTCAGATAATATATTTATGCCTGGATTAACTATAGTGACATTTAAAATAAATTAGGGAACACTATGCAAAAAATATATTTAAATTATTCTGAAAAATTTAATAAGTCATTGTAATTTTATTTTAAATCAAATAAATCTTTATAACTAATAATTAACTTAATCAAAATACTATTTATCATTTTATATCACATGACACTAATGTAGTATGATAATATATCATAATTGATGATGACGTGGCATGTTGATTTAACATAATAACATAATCATACGTTATTTTAAACTGCATATCCACCAAAAGCTTCTTGAGATCCCGTTGGGTACACTTTGAGAATGGCCAATGCTTGTGTTTGGTGTGGTCTAGTGGAGGAATGTGTTCATATATTTTGATTTCATGTCACTTGTTTTTGGACAACGTAACTTGGTTCTATGTGTTTCGTTGGTGGGGTTTAAATTGGGTTATATTTCCAATTCAGTGGAAATGGAATCATTCACTAAATCTTGGGATAATTGTTTTCGGTTGGGGGCCTCTCAAAGGAAATAGTGGTGTGGCATTGTGGTCTTTATGACTTATTGTAATGAGACAGTTTATAGTGAAAAAGTTTGAGAGTTGTTTACTTGGTTAAAATGAGACTTTTGTTTTGGGTAAGAACGATAGAAATAGAAGGACATGAATCTGTTGATAATATTAGGTTGTGGACAGAATCTTGGAATTGCAAGACAAAGGATACGTTAATGAATTCTAATTTAATGTAGATGGTTCAATTAGAAACAAACTATAACACAATAACAGAAAAACAAATAAAAATGAAAATATATAATAAAAATAATAATGTGGAGAAATATAAGATCCGTAGATCGAAGTAACACTAACTCTTTTGTTTTTTGTTTTTTTTCCTTTCTTTCCCTTTGCATCTGCTGTTAATTCTTTCTAATTTACTCTGGCAATGGAAGTTTATTGACAAACTTAGCATTGTCAATACTAATACGATATCCGTATTTAAGTATTTAATTTATTAATTGATATATAATCTCTTACGTATCAAATTTCTTTTTTCTCAATTAAAAATAAAATAAAATATTCGATTGACTAAACAAGAGATTCAATGGATTGACAAACTTCACCCATGGGTGCAAATCTTTTCACCGCACCGAAATATCAGTCCATTCAGCTAATTTCACTCTCATCATCGTTAAATTTCATCTTTAAGCTTTCTAGGCTTTTGTCCTTATTAATTTGTTTCTTTGCTTTGCTTAATGGCAACGACTATAATCTTTTACAAATTTTAAGGTCAATTTTCGGACTAAATTCAGACTTGACAAATGCCCGTTTTCCTACATTTGTATACCCTAGATCTAAGCCCAATGAAGAATTATTATAAAACAGTGAAATCTTTAAACATTAGCATCTGATTGGATCATATGTTTAGATATTCCGCCAACTGAGTTGGTACCTTTGCCTGAAGCGGATGCCTTTGGGCCTTCTGTTTCGCGTGGTTAGTTCGGGTGTAATTAATCTTTCGACTTTTACATATGAATAGAATAGAATATTTATTTACATGTTCTGTTCAAACTCAAATATAAATCCTATTCAGTTCAAGTAAGTCTATTACATCTTCTGACCAAATTGATATATATATATATATATATATATAAAATAAAACTTAACCGAGGTCCAGCCTCGCTTGCTCTGTTATTTAATCCACTCAAGCTCGAGTTCTTTGAGTTAATTAATCGAGCCAAGTAGGAACCTGGCATTATATCAACATTGCTCGGTCATACCCTTTAAGCAGAACGAAAGAACAGTAAACTTGACGAATCATACCTCCCTCCTATCTAGGCAAATGTCCAAAGGAAACCATACCCATCATGGTCATGGACGCCCTCTCTCAGGGAAACATTAAAAAAAATGTTGACATCTCCCTGGCCCTGCAGAATGACACACTTCAGTACAACACAGTGACCACAGTCATAAAATCTCTGATACGCTATTATACTATTAACTCCAGGCAGCGTGGCATACCACCCCAGATTCTTCTCACACAAAAAATAATACTAAAACAACACACACATGCTACTAAAACTATGCACCCTTGGTCCCACCGAATCACCCCTGAGAGAGAGAGGGACCAACAGTACAGAAGTGTAAAGCCATTATAATATAGTATAGGCTGCTTAGAAAGGCCCTATATATGAGATGAGATTAATTATACAAATAACATGAGAAAAACAAATGGCTAAAAATCCAAGCAGTCCAGTTTAGTCTAGCGGACATAATATATTCACACCCACATTTCAAACATCAGCATCGCTACTACTTTTGCTGTCACTTGTCATGCCCTTAGTAGCAGCAGCACTACCACTATCACCATTAAAATTGTTCTTATCCACATTCATATGGGTGTGCTTTTTGGAAGACCCTTTGCAAAGCTTGACTGGGTATTTAATGGCATTGATCTTCAGCTTTCTCAAAGCAGCTTTACCAAGATCAACCCCACATATATCAGAAAGCCTAACAAGGTATAGCAACACATCTGATAGCTCCTCACCCAGGTGTTGTTTCTCTTCATCTTTCCAATCAGGGAGTCCTCTTGGCACCTCTCCTTTCCACTGAAATATCTCAGACAGTTCTCCCACTTCTCCTACCTGAAATATGTTCATACAAAGTAAAGAGTAGAGAATGCTGAAGAAGCGAAACAACGGGACTGACAAAGGAGCAAGGAACCAGGATTGTGCCCTTGCGGGTAATGAGGGAAAATGTGGGGTCTTGACATGAGTTACATCATATGAAACAACCAGTACAAGATTCTTTTTTTCGTATTCACTTATGATTTTTGTGGCCTAGAAGTGATTTCCATCACTCCTGTCTTTCACTTACTTGCAACAGTGATTCAAACATATGGAAGGAGCAGACAAGAGATCATCAAGCAATGGTACTTGTGGTACTGTTATCATTACTGTCATGACATTTCTTGATTGTACAGTTGATGGAATGGCAGTGAATCTCACAGAATCCAAACAAGGGGCAAAGACCAAAAATTCCAGAATGGGTTTTCAGGAAAACAATATTAAAAAATCCAATTTTGAGTGGGACTCTATTCTTAACAAGTGGATAAGGAATCAATTCTACCGGTCCATTCTTTTTTTTTATTGAAAGATAAGGAGTAATCTTATTAGCCACAAAACCGGCATGCCATTGCAAGTCTAAAACCAACTGCCAGAGACTCCTCATGACATAAAGAAGTCGATTTGGGCAAAAGAACTGAATAATTACCAACTGTTAGCAGCTACAAAAAGCCTTAGACGGCTGATCAAAGGAAGACCAATGTTACTTTCTTATTGTTTTCTCTCAATTCCCTTGAATCTCTGTCGTAAAATACATAAGAAAAACTGTTCATTACTTTGTCTATCATAATACAACGCAAAGGCATTTTCACCGAAAAAGAACAAATCAAAACAAAAATAAAAAACGGACATGGGCCAAAAAGTCTTAACAAAACCAGCCAAAAGTCAACTTAAACAAATAATAGATGCAGGCAGAAGAGTGAACCAATAAAAAAAAGGGAAAGACAAGAAGTAAACCATTTAGCAGATAAACTTAACATGGGGTATAATGGGTAATTGAGAAATTCAAATGGGTTTAGGAGATATAAAAAAATGTTTTAGGGTTTTATAAAAACTTAGAAGCGTTATTAAGTTTTGTACCAGGGCCAGCAGGAGATTCCTAGGGCTGTGAAACTGATCCCAGTCTCTTTCCCTCGCAAACTCAGCCATTTTCTCCTTGAGCTCTTCCAGGGTAACCCCTTCTTTCTCCAGGACGCCTGTCATTTTTCGTTTCCCCAAGGATCAAACAGGGCTTCGTAAGTGTCAAAAACGAAACGAAGAATTGCAAGATTACACCCAGGGTAGACTAAGGCAAAGCCACAAAGGAAATAAAAAAAACCTATCGTTTTATTAACACTCGCATGCCTCTGCAAAACAGGGAAATTTGTGAAGGCAGACTGATGGACTACTGGGTATTGCCGGTCAGGTAGGACCACTTTGCCATTTGATGACGGGCGCGTGGCAGTTCAGTGGCTCTAGGCCATGTTCCTGGTGGCCTTGGGATTTGAAGGGACCACTTCTGTGTTCTTTAGGAGGCAAAATCCGAGTTGTACCTTTTGTGGGAAAATTCTTTAATTGCGTACTCACGTTTTTTTTATCATTTCTTTGAAAAAAGAAAATAATAGTATATAATACAATATTAAGCTTGTAAATATAAATTTGGGTTATATAAAGTTTGCTAGCTTTAGATGACATAAGAAAAGAAAAGCATTTATACTCGTCGAGAAAAGAATTACAGGGACCAGAAAATCTATACCACTCATGGAAATTTCAATTAAAAAAAAAGATATATTTTTAATTTGATGGCTAGTGTCGGTATGCTATGAGTTAATAATACTTACAAATCTAAATATTTGATACAACTATATAATGTTTTTATTATCTATATCTATATATAAAAAGAAGACAATAATACTATTTATGTGAAAGAAGGAAGCCAAGAAAATGAATTTGATCCCATACCAATAGTAGAAATGCAATTTGAAGCTCAATTGCACAACCCTCAAGTTTCCAACTAAACAAAAAAAAAAGACAGGTTTTGATTGCCATTTGTAAGTAGATGAGATTTCATTTATTAATTTTCAATTACTTACAATGAATGGCAACATCAAACCAACCTTAAACTATATATTGTACTCTTCCTATCCCATTGCTACATGCACGATGGAGATGGATACAATTGGGAGAAGGAACGGAGAGAGAGAGAGAAAGGTTGTTCACAAGTATTGTTCAACCTCATCTTCATTACGAACTCTATGGGCAAAAACAGAATCCAGAGAAGCTATGTTTGTTGCTTTCTGTTTTCTTGCCACCATGTGGTGATCACAAATTGTTTGCCTGAAAGACACATATCGCTACGCCGTATATGCTAGGCAATTCACCATCATTTCAATTTTGTTTTGGGTCATGTGCATCATATGTCAGCACCCTCTAGTGACAGAGAAGCAAATATACATTGACCAGTTGTTTGACAAGGAAGCCATGAGCCACACATATTGACCCTCTCTTCCGCGGCCATTTGAAAACACTAGTTGTGTTATAAGTTTGGCTCAATATAAGGTTAAAATCAAAGTTGATGCTTCATGTAGTGTAAAAAGTTTTTCTATCAACCAATTGTAGAGTCCAAATTCATTAATTAAGGTCAAAACAATCATTCTAAGAGGACGAGCTAGGGGGGAACAAATTTCAAAAGACTTGCATACTTGAAGCAACCTTAGCGCCCCCCAATCCATTTAAACTTGCCATATGTTTGAAAGAGTTAGATTTTATTATAAGTTATGATCATCTTTCATCTTTGACAGATCTACTCGAGTTCAGTCAAATATAATTTTTATCTGTGTAAATTGTAAATTGCCAAAAGGGCAAGGCATGTCGGTTGGAGAGGAAAGGAAACCTGTCCCTCGAGTTTGGGGATCGAGCATCAAAGCGTTATTGGAAATCGCACATAGCTTGGTGAGAGGGGGAAAGCAAAAGGCACCCGGAGAATCTGCTTGGAATTACGACTTGTCAAACCTGGAGATTAAAGTGCAGGCCCATGGAAGGATGCCTCTGTTTATCACTTTCTAAAAGATGGGATATTGACCCAAGACTCTAAAGTCATCATCAAATATAATTAGTGGTGGAAGTGGCCGCCATCATTTCTATTGTAATTGTTTATTATCAAAGTTCAAGTGGGATTCCAACCCCCCCAAAAAAATTGAAACAAGTTTAAGTGGATCACCAATAACAACAATGAGGTCTCACTACTCACACCATGCCCAGGCCCCAGACTGGTTAGTCTCTGTAGTAGTAGTGGTATAGTACCTTCTGATAAAGATTCAGCCTTTTGTTTTAAAGAAAATGTTCAATATTGTTCAATGGCATTACAATAACAACTTACAAACATGAAATTCCAAGGAACAAGATCGAGGAAAATAGAGATTAATTAGCAATAATTAAATCATTAAGGAATTTAAGATTAGGGTCCTTCAGTACTCTTTGACGATTTCATTGATGAGTAGCAAAAATGGATATTATGGTAAGAGAAATGAGAAAAATAAATGATTTGTTATTTATTATTCAACTATTCGACGATAGAGTAAAACCTTATGATGACGATGATACAGTGAGAGGATCACATAAACTTCGCTCGTCCTTCTGGTTGCCATGATTCGAAAATATTCAACGATTCCTGCGTTCAAGAGAGGCCTAGCTAGGGTAATGCTCACTAATTTGGTCTGGATAGGAAGAGGGGGGCCGACTAGTCAGAGCAGAAAAAGGAAGGCATTGTGGATAGTGCTCAGGTTGTTGCAGGCATTATCCACGTCGGCTGGTAGAGACCCCAGTTAGGCTGCTCCAAAGCTTGATGACAATGTGACAGTAAAAACAATGCCCCATCCAGGGGCTACTGGGATTGAACCTTTTTTGATAAATTTGAACCTTAAATTACCTAAACTTTCATCATACTAGACAATCTCTGAAACGGTAGAACTTGTGTCAAACACTGCATTGACTCACGATATGTTTTCGTGTCCCATTATTTCATTCTTGCAAGTTTCTTGTGAACCGGGCAACCTCTCCTCATTGGCCAACCAACACTTTTCTGAGTGAATGGCTTTCTGTTGACAGTGCACCCCAGTACATTGGGAAGCATATATAGCGTTTGGTCAGAACAGAAAACAGCAATGAAAATGTTCACCACTAAAACATGTATTGTAGTTTGTCTAGCCCTACCAGAGGATGACCCTTTATCTCGCATTTTGCATTATTTGGCAGAATGGTTGGGGCTCAGTATTTATCATTCCAACAATGATTCCAAAAGGTGAAGTGACCTTTCTTTCTGTCTTTTTCTATCATTTGGTAACAATCAGTCTTCGGTGCCACAGTTTTTCTTGATACATTGAATCATATATATGTATTATGCATGACCCTATTTTCATCTCTTCACATTTTCTCTTCTACAATTTGCTTTCCTCAACAGATGCCTTGTTAGACTTTTATTCTCTTTCTATATATAGATAGATAGATAAAGATATATCTATTTTTGTGATGTTTCTATTCTTTAATCTAATGTGTTTATTTATCCTCGTTTAGCAGCACCCAAAATTAGAGCCAAGGTCGGGCTAGAATGGCCATGACAATTTGTTAACCTCTCCAAAATTTTTAGGTGTTTGACAAAATAAAGATATAAATAGTAAAAAAAAAACTCCTAAACTATGCTCATTTTTTAAATTAAGTCTCTAATCTTTTTTATTATATCAAAATGAGTCCTTGATTTTTAATGGAAAATTTCTCTTAATGAATCATGTGACAATTGATGTGATATTTTCTTATTCTCCTTTTTTTTTTTTAAATTTCGAAGAAGTTGTATAAGCCTTTCCATTTTCTTCTTCCTTTTGCTCTTTCTATGACCTACCTAGGATCTGACCACCACCGTTGTCTATCGTCAGTGTCATCTGTCATCCGTCGCCAATCAAGTTTGAAAAATTCTACGTTTCGATTCCTTATGTCTCCTTTAACCTTTTAATTGGTTTACTTTTCTTAAAAAAAAAAAAAACCCTTCTTTTTTCTTTTTTTCTCTTTTTTTTTTTGAAAACGAAACCTATACCAAGTTGTGGCCGAGGGGATTTTGGTTCTTTCGAGCCCTTTTTTCTCTTCTTCTTTTTGCCTTTACACTTTTCACTGATTAATTTCATCTAATCTCCAAAACAATACTTAAACCTGAGAGTTTTAAGTCTTCAATCTTTTGAGATTTGGAAAAAAGATGAAATTTTTCGAAAAATCACTCCAATCAAAAGAAAAGGAGAAGGAAAAGAAGCACAAAAAAGTTCTTTTTGGTGATTCTGGATGATGGAGGGGATGATATTGTGGTTTGCCAACTTCATGGTTCGAAGTTTTGAGCTGTGCTATGTTAGTTATCACATGATTGCATCATTTTGTCCAGAAAATGTCAATTACTCGGTGAAATGCCCTAGAATTGAACTTTTGGATGTCGGCACAATATCTAGTTCAAGTCGAACCAAATTTGTTTAGTACGACCGGCAATGGGCCCAATATAATGAGCCTAAGAAAATTGGAGTTGCTCAATGGCCACTACTTTTCTCTTTTGGTGAATAACTCCCATCTCTGCTAGCGAAGAGGCCTGGCCCAATTCTCTGCCTCCAACATTTATCCATGATCTCTTCTAGTACTATTCATCCGAAGCCTTTGATTTTTCATTTTCGATGACCAATTAAGCTTTGCCTTCTTCTACTCTTTTCACATAGGAATAGACTCTACGAAGATTATATGCATGAATATCTTATATTTGATCTGTGTGCAACGCACAAGTCATTCTCTAATGTGTGTGTGTGTGTGTATATATATATATATAG